ATTTACTTCAAAGGCTTTCCTGGAGGCTGTGGCGTGTGCAGGGTTGGGATCTATTTTTCTCCAAAGAGGTTTGAAAGGAGCCGGGGCCTTTCTCTTGAAAGCATCCCAGGGAGAGTGCTTTGGGTTTTGATTTTTTTTTTTTTTTTTATAAGGGCTGTCTCCAAAGGCAGATAAGAGGGAGCCCTGGGAAATGAAAGCCAAAAAAAAAGAAAAAAAAAAAAAAAGTGTATATGAAAGGAAACACAACCGACAAAGAAATGAAGCAGCCAAAGCACTTTAAAATAAAGCCTGTCTCCACCCTGCGCCAGCAATAAAACCATCCTGCAAAGAGCTGGCAAAAATTCCCCAGGAAAAGTCCTTTGGTGAAAGGGAAAGATGTTGAATTATCCCCCAGGAAGCGAGTAACCCAGGCACTACTCGGCGCTTTTATCCTTTCATCAGTCTGGGGAGAAGTGGCTTGTTAATGCCAGGAGGCTTAGCAGGAATGTAAACCCAAGCAAACGGCGTGGGGCTGGGGGGGCTGCGGGCAGCCCCTCCTGGGGTGGGGGCAATGCAAAACCCCACCGGGAACAGCCCTATGGGGCACCACCCGAGCAGCATGCTTTCAGCTGGGATCCTCCTTGGCTGAAATCAGGATTAGACCTGATAAATGCTCCTGGGTGCATCTGCTGCATCTCAGACACCTCCTGCCTTCGAGGCAGGGGATTTCAGCGCCTGCACGCACCCCATCATGGCCCAGCACCCCAAATTGTCCTGCGGCTGAGGAAGCACTCCATAAATCACTGCACAAAGAGGCCGTGCTCAGGGAAGCATCAATAATCACATTAAATAATTACAGGGGGAAAAGTTGACCAAGGGAGAACTGGAGGGCTGTGGGGTCAGCGCTGCAGAGCAGAGAGGGGAGGAGAGGCTGGAGGGTGGGGGTCTGGGGTTGGGTAATGGGGTGCAGGAAGAAAAGCCACCATAGGCTCTGAGAGCAGGTGGAGAGTACCCAAGCCATGTCCTGAATGGATCTAAATGTACGTCCCTAACCTCCTCACAGCTCCAGACCTCTGGGGAAAATCCCCCTCTGAGCCTGGGGGAGATCGGCTGGGGAAGGCTGGAGCGGCTGCTTTTATTCAAGGCACAGTTGTGTTTATTATTGTTGGTGTTAATTAAAACAAATGTTACAGCAGCAACAAAGGAGCTACAAAACCTCCTCAAACCATGCATGATTTGAGCCTTGCGCTTGTCCTGAGCCAGGCTGAAGTGGGCAGCCCATCCAGGACAGGTTGTCTGGTGTTATTTGCATCCCTGAATGGAAGCAATAAAATTAATGTTAGTTGTGGTTCATTTTATAAAGTTAATAATAAAACAAACAAACAAGCAAACAACAACAACAACAAAGACTAAGCAGCTAATTTACCGAAAGTAGAAAATTTAAAAGACAATTTGCATCAGCGCCAGGGTCACTTGCTCACACTGCTTCTCCATGCAGGTTGCGCAGGATAATTAATTGCATGCTGCTAACAAACTTGGCCACTTTGCTAATTGACTCAAGTTTGTCCCGAGGCATGTCTGACGCTTGGTGCTGACCCATGGCATGGCCTTACAGGTGCCGGCTTTCCCTGAGGAGCCTCCCTCGTTCACTGGGAGACTCCGGCCAGGAGGCTGGGAAGGGGCTGGGAAGGGGCTGGAGCATCCTGGGTGGCTTTGGGACCCCAGGAGCAGGGAACCCCGGCTCCGAGGTGCCACCGTCCGGCTGCAGCCCCGCATCACAGGCGGCTGGACGGGGACCAGGGGCTGCGAAGCAGGCAGCTGCTCCGAGGCAGCCCGGACTTTTTTTATTCCTGCCATAATTTTTCAATTTACAAGGCGGTAAATGAAAGAGGAAGATGAGGTTTGCTCAGCGCATTTTTCAGCAGTATTTACTGCTGAGAGCACTAGGAAAACCATTTAAGCAAATGCTTTTATGACACAACACGCATTAAAGAAACTTCCCTAATATTTTTTTCACCCCTCTTTGCCGCTTCTCCCATCCTGCTGCTGTTCCGTTCAGCTAGCTGGTTTATGGGCTGCCTCCATTTTAATTGGGCCATATTCCCAGGGTGCACTGAAATTTTTGATTCTCAGTTAGCTCAAAGCGTGCATGCAGCTGATCGGGCAGAAATGCCGGGTCCTGCCTTAATGAATTTTGCCATCTAACGAGCCAGAAGGGCCTGGCATGGAACGGAGCACCCGGAACGGGTGAGGCACCTCCAGGCCAGGTGCTGCTGGTCCCCAAATCCATCCTGGAGCCAGGTTCCTGTGCTGGGGCTCAGGGGCTACTCACCATGGCCGTAGGGTGTAGCAGTAGGTGTACAGGCTCAGGATGGTGTTTAGGAGAGGCTGCTTCACCAGGAGGCGATTGCCAACAAATCTGTGTCCCTGCTGGGTGTGCGAGACTCAGCCCAGCTCAGCCCAGCGTTGGTGATGCCCCCAGCCTCAGCAGATGGGGCTGAAGAGCCCTGGAGCTGTTGGCCTTATTTTTACCCATTTTCTGTGCCTTAACCCAGCAGTTCCCAGTAAGAGAAGCCTGGAGACGTGCATCCTATCCATGCGGCCACCCCAAGGGCGAGGAGCCGCCACCCAGCCCCTTCGCTGCACGCCTGTCCCACCGCCGCCCAGGGGACACCGCCACCCCCAGCCTTCCGAGGTGGCAGCCCCGGACCCCCCCCCGTTATCCCCGCACAGGACGCGGGCGGCTGGGGCAGGGCCGGGCCGGGCCCGGGACGCGGCGCCCCCGCGGTGCCGCCTGCAGCCACCGGGAGGCGGCCCCGCACCGCGCTGCGGCACGCACAGAGCCCGAGCAGCTCCGGGGGGGCGGAGATTGGCTGAACTAGAGGGGAAAAAAAAAAAAAAAAAAAGAAAAAAAGAAAAAAAAAAAAAAAAGGAAAAAGTAAAATAAAGTAAAAGAAAAAGTAAAAGAAAAGAAAAGGAAAAGGGAAACTGAAAGAAAAAGAAAAGAAAATTTTAAAGAAAATATAAGAAAAAGTAAAGTAAGATAAAATAAGAAAAACAGAAGATTAAAATAAAAGTAAAGTAAAAGGTAAAGTAAAAGAAAAGGGAAAGGGAAACTGAAAGAAAAAAAATAAATACAAAAAATATATAAGAAAATATAAGAAAAAGTAAAGTAAGATAAAATAAGAAAAGAGTAAGATAAAATAAGAAAAAGGATAAAATAAAATGTAAAATAAAAGGGAAGGGAAATTGAAATTAAAAAAAAATGAAAGAAAATAAAATATAAGAAAAAGTACAGTAAGATAAAATAAGAAAAAAAAAGTAAGATAAAGTAAAATCAGATAAAATAAGAAAAAAAAAAGTAAAATAAAGTAAAGTAAAATTGGAAAGAGCCCATCCAATGCCACGTGAGGCTGGTGCTGGGGCTGAGAGCAGCCTGCCTCGCAGGTCTCACCCAGCAGCTCCCCCCCCCCGGGGCAGGGTTTGGGGTATGCCCACAGCCTCCAGCCCAGCTGAGCCAAGCCCGGTGAGGCAGGTGGGGGCGGTTTGGGTGGGAATTGGTGGCTGCTCCTCTTTGGACCCTCCCTACGGGAAAACCAACCTGGAGCTGTCATTCCCGGGGGATGCAAACCTTCACTTTACCTCCACTTCAGAAGTCACCCGGTTTGGTGTGCTTCCGAACAGGCATCCCCGTGATGGAGCAAACACGAACTGCTGGGATGCTGCCAGGAGCTGCTCGTGCACACCTCAGCAGCACCAGGTAAGGAGGCAAAATGGAAGCTGCCAGCTTTTTTTGTGTGTTCTGAGCTAGTCATCCGAGTGATTTTTTTTTTTTTTTTTTCCATGGGAGAGGAGTAAAAAAACCACCTGTGTTCCTACCTGCTGCACAGACTGGGACTGGAAGGGCCCTTTGTGTCCTTCCTGCTGGGTGCATGGTGCCAAGCCCAGGGAGGGGGGATATGGGACAGCCATGTGGCAGCTCGGGGGCAAACGAGAACCCTCCTAGGCTCAGGCAGCACACACCACAACAAGCACCCAGGGAAATCTTCCCGTCCCAGCTGGGAATCACAGCCAGGAGCCCCAGGCCAAGCGGTCACAGAGCAATGCCAGGCTGTGTGCTGAGCGCTCAGGGAGGCACGGGGGCACCTCCTGCTCCTTCCCCTTGGGATGCGGCTGGGTTTCGTGCCTCAGGGATCTGGCCTGATGCTAGCAACATGCAGTGTTGCAAGAGCCATTGTGTTGGTGCCAGCACCAGTTGCTGCTTCAGCTCGGATGTTTAATAGCCAGATGAATGAGTGAACGGAAGCAAAATGCTTCCGTGCCAGCCATCGGAGCTGCGCACACTGCCCACAATATGCCCGGCCCTAATTGCACCCCCAGGCTCTGGGCATTTCAGGGCACAGAACTGAAAGGGTTCTGCTGTCTGTGCAGGGTGGTGGAGCTGGATGGACCCACCCCCCCCCAGGCAGCTGGTGCTGACCTGATCCCTTCCTGCTCAGGGGATGGAGAGGACACAAACGTGCTCCTGCTGTGTGGCTTTGGTGGCCACATCGTGGGGATGTCTTAGGACAGAGCTGGAAAGAGGAGCGCACACCAGCACCATGGCACGGGGTGCTGAGCCCTTCGGCAGGATGGCCAGTGTGAGCAGGTTGGCAGAGCACAGCCTGGCTCTAACCCCCAAAACGCCAAAAGCAGAAGCAACGGAGTTATTCTGACTTTTATTTCATTGCTTCTTAGTCCACACAGTCGGTATAAAATCAGAAAAGCAAAGCCAAAAAAAAAAAAAAAAAAAAGAAAGAAAAAAACCCTAAATGAAACAAAAACAACGACAGCAACGCAGTGTCTGGAGTCCTCAGAAGGCAGCCTGGGGTCTGTGCAGGTGCCCGCTCAATTCATTGCCAGACACCTCTCTGACACACAGACAGAGGACAGACATCGTGCTCCGGGGGCGAAGGGCAGCAGGGCTCCTCCACCCCGAGCTGTTTCTGTTCCTCTTGACCATGGGGCGGGGGGAAAGGAACCTCGGTTATAAATGCTTTATTAAAAATAATAGTAAGAGCAAGTTGTCTAAGTACAAAAGCAGTTAAAGCTCGTTTATATTACACAGAATTATTTCTCATTTCTAGCTTCGTTGTTTACCTCAAGGTTGTTAACTGAATTTCCAGTGAATAAGGTTAAATGGCTAGCAGTATAAGGAATGGTAAATAGATAGCACCATTTCATATATCTGGCATTTGATTTCATAGATATACGGGGTTTGCTTCCTGCTCATCGGTACTCTAGCTCCACGGCAAGGACAACGCACATTGCGTGGCGGGGACAGCCCGTGCCCGGGGGCTTGGCTCAGGGCGCACACAGCCCCCGGCACCCTGGGCACACGCTTGGATGGAGCACAGCCCGCACTCGCCTGCATTCAACCTAAGTGATTTAAAAGCCCAAATTCCCAGCGGGTGTGGTGGCAAGGCAATGGGACTTAGGCACATAAGTCATTTAGGCACTTTGGGCAGTCCTTTGCTCCGAAAACCCTTCGAACCTTTTGGAAGCGCCTCCGCCAGCCCTGGCCGTGCCCTCCAGCCGCCAAAATCTCAGTGGGCAGGAGGAGCAGGGGCCAAGCCTCCGGCCGACATCACCAGGCGTAACTCCCCGCTGCTCTGCGGAGCGGCACCGACCAGTGCCAGAGAGACAGCAGCCAGAGCTGGGGGGCTCCAATGGCACGGCTGGGGTGGGGAAGGAGAGCTCAGATCACAAAGGGCTTGCATGAGAGAAAAATCACCGCGCTCTTGTTACACTGTTAGGAGTAATAATTCCTTAGGCACTTTCTTTAGGCTTTAAAACATAGCATATGGTCAACAAAAGCAAACAATACTATGTACATATATGTAAAAAGTGTTATAAATAGGTTTTTTAAACCATAGATACTATATACATCCTCAATTAACAAGTAACCCTTTGAGTGTTTCCTTTTGGGGTCGGTTGGGTTTGGTTTGTTTTTTTTTGGTGGGAGGGTTTATTCCTTTTTTTTTTCTTTTTTTTTTTTTTGGTTAATTTTCTTTTCCGTTTTCTCGTCTATTTTCCCCCGCCTCCGTCTCCTCCGTGGACGTCATGAGTGCCCCGGTTGCGCCTCCTGCGGCATCACTCGCGCTTCCGTAGGATGACGTAGACGATGCCACTGGCGAGGGCCAGGGGGAAGGCGAGCCACGCCAGGATATAGGCGAAGCCATAGGAGGTGTTTTCCGAGGCTTGGTGCCAGTCCGTGTGCCTCACTGTGAAGATGGCCGCGCCGCTCATCACACAGAGCCCTGCGGGGAAGAGCAAGGGGATCGGTGAGCAGCAGTTCCCGGATGGAAACCCACAGCTGGATAACGCCCCGTGCCAGCACTTTTTCTGTTGCCTCCTCGCATCTCCTGGGAAACTATGGTTTGGGGGATGTGATGCTGTGGGTCCTGGCTGCAGGTGAGTGGGATATCACCACCAGGCTATGAGCATCACCTGGTCTAACCCTCACCCAGCTCCAGGTGCTGCTCAGGGACCAGTCCTTCTGTCCTGGGTGTCTCAATTGCAGCCTGAACCACCCTCCCAGAGCTGCTGCAAGATGTCAGGCACAAGCTGGGCTTTTTTCTCAGTACCCCAGTTTATCACCTGCCTGTGCAGGTGCAGCTGGGGCCACCCAGTCCCTGCAGTGGCTCTGGCTGGGCACAGCCTGCACCCGACCTCCTCCCCTGCAGGCACCATCCTGCACCGCTGCCATCCTACAGCTCGTCCCGCTTTTGTCCCCCAGTGTCCCCTCCTCGCCAGCCACGGGCCATCCGCTCCGGTAGGCAGCATTTTAGCTTTATTGCAAAAACAAAGCATCAGCACTGGGGACTGCCCAGCGCCAACACAAAGCCACCACTATTCCTCCCTGAAAACAAGCTCTTTCAGTCCATCCCAGCACTTCTATTATGCAGTCGCTGGGCTGTTGTCAGCACTACATCCCCTGCACGGACCTCGGGACCACCTACATTGAACAGCGGTGATATTTGAGCTCTAATTCCACTTGACACTGAGCCTTTGTTCTGGGAAAGTGCAGAAGTGGGAATACGTTTCATTAACGCGCCACTGGGGCAGTTTCCATTCTGTGAGCACGAGAGCGAACTCCCACTGCCCCGGCCCATGCAAAGAGAGCAAAACAATTGTCTGGCAATGCTGATGGGACCGAGAGCAGGCGTGCGGCCATGCCAGTCACCTACAGACTCCAGAAAATACAGCGGCAATTGTCCCCAGGAAGAATTTGGCAAAATTAAGAGGCAATGGATGCATTTCTGCAGCATCTGCACTGGTTTGGGCCCGGGGGATAGGCGAGGAAGTGAAGCCAGCTGCACTCAGTGGTTGCAAGGTGCAAGACAAATGCGTCACCACTCTGCAGCCTGATTTGAGGAACACATTTCAGTCTTGTTTTGACAGGCCTGGAGGGCAAAGTCTACCTAAAGCCTGACTCCCAGGGCTGTGTGTGGTGACAGCCTGGCCAGCTGCATTGGTGATGCTTATGCTGGGAAGAGTGAAGGAGAAATGGGGCCAAGCCCCAGGTTTCCACAGCTGCTGGAAGTCAGTTGAGGTGATTACACTGTGACCGATCCACCAGGTAGGAGTAGTGAGGGGGGAGAAAGCTGTTGAGGGTCTCCTGGTGCCTCTGGAGGCTGGAATCCCACCTGGGAAAACTAAAGCAGGCCTCAGGGCATGGATCCAAGCAGCATGGAGGAGGTGCTGGGGATGCCTCCTGCCCTGGCCCCGCACAGCTGCCCTCTTTCTTGCCCTTACCCACCCAGCGGTCCTGTCCTTGTCACCTGCTGGTTCAGGCCGAGCAGCACTGCAGGCCCAGCTCCAGAACTGGGAGCCCTCGGCTCTGCCATGCTACGCCCCCCGGGAGGGGGCTGCAGGGTCCTGGAGGGCCCAGGGAAGAGCCTCCTCATCCTTCCCAGGAGGAGAGAAATCCTCTCCAGCCTTTCACAGCAAGCTGCAAGGAGACCTGCGTTGAGCTGAGCTCCTCTGCCCGGTGCTGTCTGTGCCAGTGGGTGAGACCTCCCTACAGCAAGCCTCACATTTGGCATCACAGGAAGGATGGGCACCGGTTCCCATTTCTGTGTGGTCCACATGGACCCAAACCTCTGCCTACTGCCCCCAGGCCATGGGAAAGCTTTGTGGGCTCATCTCCCACTTTTCCCATCCTCTGTGCTGTGCTGGAGGAGGATCTGACAAGGAAGGAGCCAGCACATCCCTGGCCTGACCCTGCCTCCCCCAGGACGTGCAGCACAGCATGGACAATGGCTGCGCTCCCATTGCTCCTCTAAGGATGAGGATGCACCTGCAACCACTTCAGAGCAAGCAGCCTTCTGCTCCCAGACCTATTAGATGAGTTCCTGAGCAGATAATTGCATTACTAATGCCCATTTCCTCTCCTCATCTCCACGGCTGTAATGGGTTTCGACACATCTATCTTCCCAGCGATGGTGAACTGATATGAACTCACCACCTGCGTTACGGCCAAGCAAATGTACTTATAGGAGATTTCATGCCACATTTGCCAATAAAGGTTTGGTCTAAACTGCTCCAGAATTTGTGATGGCCAGTCATGTAGAGGATGCTCTGCTTAAAGTTCAGCAGACGAGTTTTCCCCCTGATTTAGCGGCAGGACCTAGGGTGCTTTTCAGTTTCCCAGCCAAAGCTCTAGCAGACAGCAAGCCTCCTTCCCAGCCAGCTGAGCGTTAGGGTCATACCTCGGCCAGAACCTCCTTGAATTTACTTGTTCTATCCTGAACACTTGAAAATCCTCCTCCCTGGTTTCATACGTGGAAACACAAATGCCTCCACGGCATCTATATTTGGAGAGCTGCAACGTAGTGCAAAAATCGTGGCTCGCTTCCAGCGCCGACTTCTTAAGAGTTAAAAATAGCAGCTGACAGTTCAAAGGCAGCTGGCTCACCCTGCACGCTCCAGCGGCTCCTTGCTGATGTGGGAAGCACCAGGCCCCCTTATGGCAAGTTTATAAATAATTCTCGGATCCTCTTGTGCCAAAACAGGATCTTCACTACTTCCCCACCCCACCAGCAGCTGCGGAAACCTCGCCCAGCTCCCCGAAGGTGGATCCCAAAGCCAGCCCCATCAGCATTTACCCAACACTGTGGGACGAGGCAGCAGAATAGCCTGGCTCCTGCCCACCCTCCCCAGGGGTGCTCCTCTTGTCTGCCCCTTCAACATCACCCCAGCTGGTGGAGCAAATCCCTGTGAAGCATGGCCAGAACAGCATGGTGCATAACATGCCCTGATGGCAGGACACCACCTGGGAATGCGAGAGCTCTATGGACCCAAATTATTTGTACCTCTTCTCTCCAAGGAGCCAGCTTGGCTGCCCTTCCTGCCCTCATTTTCCCTCTCCTTTGCTTTAAGCCCATCCCCAGCACATCCCCACGGCCAGCCCCACCGATCAGCCCCCACTTACCGGCAAGGATTTGGAAGATCCCAGTAATGTAAAACCGCCCGCCCTTGGTGAGCGTGAAGAGCTGGCAAAAGAACAGGAAGAGGGACAAGACGCTGAAGATGATGGAGAGGATCATCATCGCCTGGACAGACTGCAGCCATTCTGTGGGAAGACAGATAGAAAGCTCAGCAGGGGTATTGATGATGGCATCATGCCCTGTGCCACCGTCCTACCACCCCATGGGGCTCTTGGTTCCCACTTGTGCTTCTGCATGGTTTTGGGGACATGGACACATCCAGCGGTATGCCAGTGGGTGTTCTCATCAAGCATGAGCCTGGGACTTTTGGAGAACATGTGCATGGACCAAGATGCTGGGAAAAAGGAACCACAGAGCCTCGCTAAGTGGAGAAGCACTCAAAATAAGAGTGCATTTCGGCTGTGCTGAGAACACCGAAACCACATGCAGCGAGGTGGGAGACCCCGAGCCAGCCACGCTCGGAGGCAGAACAAACACGCAGCGAGCGCAAACCCCTCTGCCCTCACTGAGGAGCCTTTGGGAAGGAGCCAGCAGCAGCTGCCAAACGCAGCTCTGTCCCAGAGCCGACCAGTTAAACCAGCCCCTGCGTGAGTCACTGCCCAGCTATTTCCAGGCCTAGTGGGTGTGTAACTCCCTGAGTAAGAAAATATATATAAATAAACAAGACAAATGCCTCTCCATCCCATAAACAGAAAGAGGCAGTGCCTCTCGCCACCAGGATGGGGTGACAAATACTACTGCTTTTCTTTAAAAAGACTGGGCTCAACATGGATATTCTCAGCATTCCTGCACGTCTTGAGAGAGGTCCTTCAGGATACAGCATGAATTCATTCACCACGAAAACCAGCCCCATGCTCCTGCCACAGTTTGACTCCCACCAGCTACGCTCCCCAGGCTGTGCTTTCTGCAGCACACAGCGTTTCTATGGGGGGAAAAAAAAGCCTGAAACACAGCAAAACTTCAAAACAAAGCTATGCTTTGGCACAGCAGCCTTTGACACTTGGTGCAGCAATGAGGCAGTTTGGGGCTGCCTGAGGCAGAGGTGAGGCTGGATGCGAGCGCAGCCTCCTGCCAGCACGGGGATGACGATGCACGCCTGAGCCCTTCCAGCAAAGGCTCCACAAGAGAATAGCAAATCCATGCCCGCAGGGAACATCCTGTGCGATTTGGTAATGTCTGCCTCGTTTGACTTGTGATCATAAATTCTATCTCCTGTCTCTGCGTCCTGCCTCTTGCTGTTCACACAACAGACCAAGCGCAGGCCCCACTCCCAAAGGCAGACAAAGCACCCGTAGTGGCCCCTGCTCGTTGCAGACAGCTTTTTTCCTTCCCTTCCTTCTCACGCTTCCCATGCCAAATTGCTCTGCAGCATCAACTTGCTGAAGAGCTGCCGCGCTCCACTTGTTCCAGTGCCAGCAGGTTCACATCCATTGCACCACTTGCTGTAATTCCTTAGGACAGGAGAACAGCACTTCCAGGAAAGCCCAGTGCAGTTTTCACACTGACAAGCACACAAAACATCCCGTATATTTCATCTATCAGTCACTGGCTGGGCAGGGAACCCCCCAGCTGGGCCACCCCAACCCCTCAGCCCCAGCCATGCTCAGCCAGCTGCGATGCCACAGGCAATGCTAACATCAAGTCATAAATCAGCGCTCAGATGGGAGCAGAGAAACATGGTTAGAGAGTGTCCAGCTGCAGAACTGCCATCCCATTTCCGTGCTTCAGCATAGAAAGACCCCCACCCCGGTCCTCTTGGCATTTGCACAGCCGTGGGGCTAGGGCCCAGAGGAGCCCTTTCTGCCCAGATCCAGAGGTGGATGCTCCAACTGCCGGTTATTTTAGGCGAAGGCTGTCTAGACAGAAAGCTGAGCTGCTCTTCTAATTGCATCCGCCTCCCCATGCCTCTTTTTTGGTTCTGAATGTGAGTGATTTATACGGGCTTGCAAAATCCCATTGTCATAGAGAGCTGTGCCTGAGGAACTGAAAGGCAGGAAGGGGAAGCCCCCCATGGACCAGGAGCGTTCAGGAGCCAGCCTGTGCTGCCCCAAAGCAGACCACGACCATGGCACAGGCTGGCAAGCAGGAAAGTTGGGAGATGATCCCTACAGAGCAGAGCTTTGGGATCGCCCCCATCCAGCTTTTGTTGGCCTCCTTTGCAAAACAAGGGCCAGGGTCCCCAGCTCCTCACTCAGCCCCACAGGTGCAGCTGCTGTGCTCCCAGCAAGTCCAAGCCCACAGACTTCAGCTGTCTTACAACAGTTAATTGCCTTTAATTCATTAGAAAGCATCTATGACTGCACCGAGCACTGCTAGCTCCTCAACCCCATATGCTTTCAACTCCTTTGCTATTAGCACTGCGTCCTACCTCTAGACTTTTAAGAAATAAAACAGGTTTTTCCCGGGGAGGTCTGGGTCCCTGGAGCTGCACCGCGGGGCTGTCAGCGCTGTTTACTCGCAGGCTGTTATTTGTGGTTTCCCTGGGCAGCCAGGCCGTTGTTCCATTTTCCTCCTGCATCTGCTCAGCTCCGTGTTTATATCTTTGTTCTTCAGGAGGAGGAAGAAAAGGGAACAGAGTGGAAAGGGCAGATAACACCCTGCCCACCGCTTCCTGAGAGGACCCATCACAGGCAGTTTTAGAGCCCTCTCAGACAGAAATTATACAACAAGTGTTTAGAAAAGAAACTCTAAATTTTCCCTAAGCTCCGCAAGCCCTGATGTGCTCACACCACCGCTTACAGCAGGGAAAAGACTTCCCCCCAGGATGCTGAAGAGCAGGTTTCTCCAGAAAAATAAAAAACTGGAGCAGAACTTGCAGCTGAATCCCCCAACAGGAGAGCAGCTCACCCTACCCCTCCCAGCAGGGCCTCACCCTGCTTGCAGGGAGGTTTTACACCCACCGAGGGGTGCAGATGAGCAGGGTTAATGGGGTGGGATGGGCAGAAATGTGCCCTTGGCCAGGAGTAGATGGCCATAAAGGACAGGTGTTGGCTCCCCAGGGATGTATTCACTGCTCTGTCACAGACATTCAATCCTCTTTGGACCCAGCCAAGGAGAAAGAATAAAGTGCAAACACAGAAACATTAATCTGAGCAGCCAGCTTATGCACTTGACGTAAGGCATGACTAAATTTGTGCTATGCATTAAAACCACCTGTGTGCTGTAACTGCAGCTGACAGCACTGCACATCTGTCTTGCCTCTTGCAATCTGCATATGCACTGCACCCTCAAAATGCAGCCACTTCTGGGGAAGAAAGCATACACTAGGGAGGTCCCTGTAGAGTATAACACATAAAAAAAAAAAAATAAAAGAAAAGGAAATTCATAACTACACAGCAAGGAAAAGCTGCTCCATCAGTGCTGGGAGCTGATGATCAGCAAGGTCAGCAACACGAGCATCCACCAGCACAAAGGTACAAGCCTGGGTACTAGGCTAAACTTCTAGGGCTACATTTCAGCATTCTTCAACCCAGAAATGCCAAAAAAGCCCAGATACCTTCTGTGCTCCCCCTGAGCAGCACAGAGCCTGGCCACCACCCATGTCCCCACCACTCGAAGCCTCCTCTCCCTGCCATGGGGAGCTCCGTGATATGGTAACTCCCTTCACTTCGGTCCCACCCACACAAAGGGAAAAGCAGGATTTGCATTCAGCAGCTGCTCCTTGCCTGTCCTCACGTGTCCGCTACTTGGAAAGGAGCGCAGGGTGATGGATTGGGGCATTCCTGGAAATCACCCCCCAAGAGGGGGACTTTAAAGAGCTCCTGAGGTATTTGCAAGGGCTGGGGGTGAGCAGGTGGAAGCACTGAGGCTGCAGGTGGAGCGCAGTGCTGCAATTCCATCCCAGTTCTTCCCAGTCCTCTGTGCAGCTCCTTCAGGAGGTGAAGCCCCCACAGCACTGTTCTCCTCTTGTCCATCCTCTCTTTTGGTGCATCCTTGAGGCCCCATCCAAGAAGTCCCCACGGCTCCGCAGCTCTCCAGAGCTGTAGCATTCAGAGACAGCTCTGTGGCACCACATCTCCATGGCTCAGCCTCAAGACCGACCACAGCAGCCATCCCATCAGACCATCGAGGCTCACATCCCACAGAGGCAAAAACCGGTGCCGCTAAGGCAGCGCAAAGCTGCTGGCACCATGCAGAACACCTTCCAACAGCTTCAGGATGTCCAACTCTTCTTCCAAAACCATTGGGGTGGAGACCTCCTTCTGGCTTGTGCTTGAGAGCAAGTGGAGTTGATAAATGCATCATTTCAGGGCCTCCAAAAGGGCTGAGTTAAAGTCCAGGCACCAGGACTGGGGATGGGTAGCAGTGGTGCCCTGACCCAGCGGGGCCATGGAGACACCCAAGAGTCATCCAAGTCCAAACCTGTTGGGTTGAGGGTTTTCTGGCACTGCACACTGCAGCAGACCCTCAACCATCCTGGTTTCACAGCCTTGGCTTTCTCACACGTTGCCTTCTTCTTCCCTTTGGCTCCTCTTCCATGTGCCAAGGCAAGCAGGGCCGGCCAGGTGACCCCATGCAGCCGGGAGCAGGGAAAGCAGCACCGCTCCTAACCTCCCACACCAAATGTGCTTGGTTAGAACAGGCAACAGCAAAAGCTTGTTTTTAAGCAGAGGAAGCCCCTTTCATACTGTAGGCAACACGGTTATGGAAGAAACCAATCTGAAATGCAAAATACTCCCCTGGAATACCCCACAGTTCATCACAGACACGTAAATGCCGAGCTGCAGTCACCCGCAAGCTGGTGGAGAGGGGGCTCATCCTGCCCCAGTTAGGCCAGTGTTATCGACCACTAATGACAAGGGGGTGCCCAAGGTCCCCACCCTGCTGGGACTAAAATCTGGCTCTTTGCTGCTCTGCTGTGAAGACCTTGAAGGCCCAGAGATGTCCACAAGCCAAGAGGTCCACCCACGTGCTCCATGAGCCCAATGGGGCCCACTAATGGCTAGAACCTCAAGCATATCGAGGGGTGTGCATTATCACACACAGATGACCCATTATTTACTGCAGGGCTTCATTGTAACAGATTCGGCACCCTTCAACATGGGCATCACCCTCCTGCTCCAGCAAGTGTCCCCTCCCCAGTGACAAATTCTCCAAAGCTTGACCCAGTTGTTGCAGCTTTGGCCATTCCAGTGGGCTGGAGGGGAATTTCCCCCATCCTTTTATCCAGATATTTTATATTGACTATCAATAACAGAATGAGAACTGCAGAAATAATTTTACTCAGGGCAAGGATTCAGTGCAGCCTTGTGACATCATTTTTAGTCACCAAAAGGACTACAGCAAGTTACGCAGCAACTCCATCCCTCTACACCTATCCTATGTCAGACAAGTCCAGCATCGCTGGAAGAAAAAAGCTGGAAAGCACAAGGGAAGCAAAGCTGTGCTGGGGCAGGGCTGGCAGAGCACAAGCAAGGGGTTTGGGTGTTCTTGTTGTGCATTTTAAAGTGGAGAAGCAGCAGCACAATTCCTCCTGGGAAGCGCTGATGGGTCTGCAGAGGTGCCCCCACCTCGTGCCAGGGAGGAAAACATTTCCTGCCTCCTCCAGCACAAAGAGAAGCACCTCGGGCACTGGCAGTGCTGCCAACAGTCCCATCCACCAGCTTCTGCTGTGCAGGATTGGAGCTGGCCAACATCACACCTGTGTCCTGCCGGTGCTTGGCCACGAGCGTGGCTTTTCCCTGAGCGATGCTTCCTGCAGAAACAGGGACCAGGGCAGCCCATGCTGTCGGTGGGGCTTTACGCTGGGTTAAAAGCCACCTGCAGCACTGGAGAGACACAGAGCAAAGCTCTGCAATGGCCCAGCAGCAAAGGGGCTCTGCAGGAGTCGGTGTGCAGAGGAGCAGAGCAACCCCCAGCGATGGGAACGGACGCTCAGGGCAGGTCTCTGCTCTGGGTGACCCACACGTGCTTTGCTTGCGGCCGTCACATCAGCAAATTGGTGAGTGCATCGTACGGCTCTCAGTAATCCTGCGGATTGGCACTCTGCATGTTTCCCAAGGTCTGGGGTTTTCTTTTCCCTTTGAAAAAGCCCCAAAACACCAGCCTGCCTGTGAACAAGCCAGTCATGTGAAAGCCACAGAGCAGCAACATGAGAAACTTTGAGGAGACAACAGGAAAGATGTCTCATGGTGCTACAGAAGGATGTCCCGCAGGTCCCCACTGCTTCCCTGCATTTGGCATTCCCAGAGTCAGAGAAAGAGCAGTAGGTAGCAGAAAAACAATCTTCTTGCGTACGTAAAAAAAATCAGATGTGGGGAGAAAAAAGCCATTTTTGGAGGGAAAAAAAATATTGTTGTCTGCAAAATCTGGGGTGGAATCTGTTTAAGAGCACTTGAGAGGCTCAGGTCCAGCCACTCGCCCCATGCCTGCAGCAGGATTGTGCAGCTGGGGGCTGGCGCGCAGCCGTGCCGGAGCACAATTCTGGGATTCAGAGCTGAATTCTTGAGATAAGTCTTTTCCAGGAATGTCTGACAGTGCAAACGAAGCAAAGATTGCAACATTTTTTCCATAGTTCTCGGCCTCTTGAAAAAAAAAAGTCATTATCTAACAAGCAAACGCAGAAAGCGAAGCAACAAGCAGGCAGCTGTGGAAGGCGAAGCAGTGGGCAGCTGCCCCCCGCCCGGCATTTCCACCTCCTGCCCTCCCCACGCAGGCTCCTGGCAAGGATGCACGGGGGGCTCAGAGCTGCTGTGGAGGTGGGAACTCAGCACAACCCCAAAAACCCCGTGCGTGCTGGAAGCACGAGTCCCAGCCCCACCTAATTCCACCTATTCCGAGCGCAAAAAAAAAAAACAGCTGAAGAAATACTGCACGACAGTGGCCACTACGATGGCCAGAGGAAAAACAACTGCTTCTACGTAAAGACCGAGTTCTGCCAAATTCCTGAGTGAGGATTTCTTGCTCGCAGCCCAGAGCAGCCCTTGGCACGCTGAGATTAACCGTTGAGCGCCGTCCTTGGCACAAGCACAGAGACATGAATTCTCCAGGCTTTCTGCAGCCCAGCGTAACGTGCACAGCCTGTGTTTTGAGAGGTTTAAATGGGAACGGTTTGTGGTAGCTGCTATAGGATCATTTATATTTTTGAAAGTAAGCATATTCCTAGCAGAGGGAGTACGAGGAGTGCAGCGTGGATCTGGCAGAGGATAAGCACAAGCCCCGGAGGTGGCCCTGCCACAGCATTCTCACCATGCCCCAGGCCCCGTGTCCCACCGTCACCCTGAAAAGTGTCCAACAGCATCTGCCCTGGCAGCACAGGGGCAGTGGGAGCAAGGGGGTTCACTGGAAAGTTTTTAAAAGCAGATTTAAAAAGCCTTGCATAAGCCTAGGCAATATCCTTTGGCTTTGCCTTTCTACAGGTCTGGATCCTGCACCCAAGGTCCCAGCAGGTGAACACCGGTGCTCTGGGACTGCTCCCACACCCCGGCCATGGGGTGGATGGGGCAGAAGCTTCCACCCAAGCAAGACTGGTGCCAGAGCAGAGCCATCTTATAAAAAAAGAGCTGGGAGAGAGGTCTTTAAATGAAGGCTTGTGCACAGGTCTTTAAATGAAGGCTTGAGCACAATGCAGCTCCACTCAGAGAGCAGCCCGCAGTGGCACCTTTTCAACCAGACCCTAGTTGCTCAGCCGTATTTTTAGCTGGCCCATCTTACCTACAGCCCCTTTAATGATAAAAATTAATCACTGGGAAGGATTCAAAGGGAAGCCCCTCCCTGAGCAGCTCCTGGGAACAGGGCACACAACGTAGCCTCCTGTCCCCCAGGACGCTCAGACATGGGGGGCACCTTCCCACCCACATTTTGGACAGGCCCCTCTCACCCCCGACAATTCGCCAACACCCTGCAAATACCCAGAGAAAGCAATGCAGTTTGTGAAGCAGAAGATTTGGGAAGGTTTTTACAGACTGGGGCAAAAATCTCTGCCTTTTCTTTCAAGCACGAAGTCAGCAGTTTTGGAGCACGCGTGACCGGCAGCGAAGCCGCCTGCTGCCGCTGCGAGCCCCAGCCAACCGCTGCTGAAGGCCAAGGCTCCAGCGGGCTCCAGCAGGCTCCAGCCCGGCCCCAGCCCGGCTCCAGCACTCCCTGGCCAGCCCCAACACCAGCAGGCGTCAGCAGAGACCCGCGGTGCTGCCTTGGCTCCCTCGCAGGGCGAGCTTCAGCATCCCCCTCGTGGGGTACCCGCGGGTGTTTTGCTCCCAGCAGGCTGGGGACTGGGGAGACTGATGAATCCCCAAAAGCTTTGACCACCTCCCATCCCTGCAAGACCCTTCTGTGCGACCACACCAAGACCAAGTCGCATCACACTGCTCCTACGCCAGGAGCATGATTTTGGCCCAGGGGCTGTGACCATGCTCCCAGCAACACCAGTCTGAGCCACCGGGTGCTCTACTGGTTTCACTGGAGGTCACGCTGGGAGAATCCACTCCCAGGAGAAAGTGAATCCAGGCTAACTGAAACCAGCAAGCACCGGGCACAGCACCACTGACACAAGCCCTGTATTCTGAGGAAACTGAGGCACAGACCTGTGTGACTCCCTGAGCACAGATCTGGCATCACAGCTACCACCAGGTGCTCGGGGAGCTCTGTGCCGCAGCATCTGAGCATCAACTCCTCTCCTGCTAAGCTCAGAAACCTGGAAAAAACTCCCGGCTGGGCATCAGCCACCACCTGGCAAGGAGCACCTCTGCCAGCTGAGCCCCGATGTGCCACGCAGCATCCCCAAACGTGCAGGTGCCATTTGGCCATGGGATGAGGCAGGGCCTGAGCGCTCAGCACATCCCCACCTGCGCTGCTCACGGGGAGGAGAGGCCCCAGACCTCAGCCTGGCCCAGCAGCAAAGAGCGGGGCAGCTTTAGGGTTAGGAGCCAGGGAATCCTCCACAGCCAGCCTCAGGGGGTGCAGGGAGAGGCAAGGCAGGACCACAAATAACCCACAAAGGCAAATGCCCCTTGATTTCACAAGAGAGGAGAAGAAAAGTGAATGGCAGTGGCATCACTGAGAGCCGGGGAGCACTCACCATTTGTGGACGATGTCAGGCACTGGAAGATAGCACCGGAGGAGCAGTTCTGCCACAGGTCCGCCGTCTGCCCGCCGTTCACGAGCCATTGCTGCAAGAGAGACACGGCCCCGTGAGCAGGAACCGCACACCCTGGCCACAGGTTCGGCACGGAGCGGCCCCTGCGCTCCCAGGCACAGGCTTTGCTTTAGAAAGGGCTTTGCAGAGTAAACACCGATATTTGCTTTTAGCCGCTCTGGCCTCAACGGCAGAAAAACAGAAGCTCTTTATTCGCTTTAAACATGGGCCAGGTCTCACAGGGGACGCGCACTTCCCTCCACTCTGCCGTCCCGGTGCCTGGCCGGGCAATTTGAATGCTTCCACGTGATTTCTAACGACTTGGAAGATTTTTGTAAAGTCTTCCACTACTACTACCAAAAAAAAAAAAAAGAAAAAAAAAGAAAAAATTAAAAATGGAAGAACCTGATGAAGCAAGCCTGGAGCTAATCAGCTCCATGAAGCTGCTGTGTTAAAACCAAGTCAGACCTCTTTCTAAACTGAGGAGGTATTAACGGGGCTCTGGGCTGAGTAAGGTGCTGGGAACCCCACGCAGCACCCAGCCCTCAGTTTTCCCACTGTATACAAAGCTTACACCTTGAACCCCCCCCAGCAGGAGCCCATCTGGGTTAGGAGATGCTGCACCTAACTCACAGCCCCAAAGGAGCAGGGCTGGAGAGCAAAACCGCTGGTGCTGAGGCCCCAGTGCCCAAAGCAGCCCCATTTCAAGGGGCTTTGCTCAGACTGGCTGTACTGGTCTTGCTGCATCCCGTTAGCAGCTGGGGAGCGCAGTTTCACCCACAAGGGAGGGGGTTTGGGTGCTCTGAGGCTGCTTGATGTGAGCCAAAGGAGGCTGATAGGGAGCTTGGCTCTAGTAGCTCTCCGTGCCCTAACACCAACGGGGATGCGCTGAGCATCCTCTGCCACGCACGGCTACACCCACCGGTTACATCCGACAACATAAACACAGGAAGAGTTTTCTGTGCAAAAAAAACCCTCCCAAATCCCACTGCTAGCAAGACAGCAATCGGAAAGCAAAGGCTTCCTGCTAAAAGCCAGGCTGGAAAATGAGCCACAAATAAAAATAACGCGGCGTGACCCTCCCGTGCCACGCCAGTGCCCGAGGAGCGGCCGTACTTACGCTGACGATGGTGGAGACGAAGAGGAGCACCAGCACGGTGACGTGGAGCACGATGATCCCCAGCAGCAAAAGCAGCATCTTGGCGGTGGTCTGGGGCAAAACTGGAGGGGGAAAGGGAGATGCTGTTGAGCTGGGGGGGGTGTTTGTGTGTATGTGTGTGAGTCCCAGCCCCGAGGGCAGCAGGAGGCGCTCGGCCGACGGCAGGAGCCCGCCCGGCCCCGCTGGGAGCCCCGGCGCGGTGCGGGGGATGCTTGGGCAGCGCCCGGCCCCGGGGCTGCTCCCGAGCCCCCCCGGCGGAGCGGGCATCCCAGCTCCGGAGCCCCGGGGGTCCTCCCGGCCCTTCCCCGGGGGGGTTTAAGGGTGTTCCCCTGCGCTGCTCCCCAGAAATCCCCTCCTCGGGGCTCCCCCAAGCTCTCACCCGGGGGGCATCCTCGGCACCCCTCCGCTGAATTGCAACGGGGGGGCTCCTCCAGACTCTCTCCGCCAGGGCTGGGGGGCTCCGATCCCTCTCCCCCAGGGGTGGGGGTGCTTCCCCGGCCCGGCTCCCCTCGGTACCCCCGCGGGTGGGCTCTATCTCGGCTCCTCTCCGCCGGGGGAGGAAGTCCCGGATCCCCTCCCCGTGGGACCACCGGGGCAAAACCCTCCAGCCCTTCTCCCTAAGGGAACCTTTCCCCTGCCCACCTCCCCTGGGGACCCCCAGGGCGGGGGGAAAAGAGGGGGGAAAGGCGGGGGGGGTCGTTTATCTCAGCCCATCTCTCCCCAGGGAGCTCCCTCGGACCCCATTCTCGGGGGGTGGGGGGTGCCTACGGCTCCCCATCTCCCCTCGGAGGAGGGGAAGGGGAGGACACCCTAAGCCTTGAAGACCCCCGAGGTGGCTTCCCCGGTCCCTGTCCCCTCCGGCCGGCCCGGGCCGTACTCACGTCGCGGAACCGGGGCTCGCTGGGCGGCGGGCGCGGTGCGGAGCGGTGCGGAGCGGGGCGCAGGGTGCGGAGCGGGCAGCGCGGCGCGGAGCGGGCGGCGGCGCTGTCAAGGTTCCCCTTTAACCGGAGCCACCGCCCCGCTTGCGTCTGCGGGACAGGGAGGGTCCTGCGGCCGCTCCTCCTATAAATGAGGCGGCAGAGCCCGGGCACCAAAATGTGCATCGCCCCCCCCCAGCCATCCCCGTTCCCCTCACCCCCCCCCATTTGTCCTCCGATGCTGGCTCTGGGACTCGTTCCCAGCTGGGAACCCCCCAGGGGTCCCCATCCCATGGGGGAGTCCAGGCCGCGCCCCGGGGATGCCGACCAGCAGGGGTGCCCCCCTCCGATCCGGGGGGAGGAGGTTCCCCTTCCCTGGGGCTGTGCCCAAAGCCTCAGCGCGGCGCCGTCGTGTCTGTCCGGCCGTGTCCGTGTGTCTCGGAGCAGCTTGCGAGGCTGTGGCTGGGTGCTCCCCAGGCTGCTGATGTGCTGCCGGCAGCCGTGGGTTTCCCCCCTCACCCAGCACAGGGAGCCGTGGGACAGGGCCAGGGCTGGGGAAGGGGCGGCTGGAAGTGCCGAGTTCAAGGGGAGTTTGGCTCTGACTTACACACGGGGGCTGTGTCCAGGAAAGCAACCCCTGTGTGATATGCCCCTATGACAGCAGTTGATTTGGGGAGATTAGCACCTGAAAGCCAAGTCCTGCGGAACTGATTTTCACAAAACCTGGGGATCTGAGGTGCTCAGAGGAAGGGGTGGTTGCACTCTGTACAGCAGCCTTCGCTCATTTTTCAACCACAGACAATCTGTTGATACAATCATTGCACTCACACCCCCACAGACCCCAAATGAATCCTGAGAACTGCCCCAGCCTCCCCTTCACCTCTCCCTTCTTCGCCCACCGCCTCCAAACCAGTCCTGCTTTGCTGCAGAGATGAGAGAATTCGGCATTCAGCCACCAGAACCGTAAATCTTGGGAGAAAGGGGGAGAGGAGCGTGCTTGGCTCCCTCCTCCTGGCAAGCACAGGCGTGTTCCCTGCAGCACGGGCTTTGGCTCGGCTGCGCTCCTGCGAGCGGTCCCACTGCACGCATCGGCCAGCGAGAGGGAACTGGGAGCGCCCAGGGGAGGCGACTGGGGGAGGTGGGTCAGGGGCTGGAGAGGGGCCCCCAGCCTCACACCGTGCTCCAACCCCTGCTTTATCCCCACCACGATGCCACTGAGCCAAGCTCCAGCAGCACAGGCTCTGAACAGCGCAGAGGAAGGTTTGCCCGGCCTGCTTTTGAAGGATGAGATTTGCCCTTTCCACTGAAAAATTCCCCCCCATGTCCCCATGCTGCGTGATGCTGCTGCACGCCGGGCAGGGTGCTGCACGCGACGGCGGAGCCAAGGCCATCGGCGGCTGCGAGCCCCACAGGACTCCAACATCTGGAGCGCCATCGGGACATTCCTCACTAATGAGGCTATTTCGAGCCGCCCTGCTGCCGTGGGCTGGGCGCGGAGGCTGCTTGCAGAGCAGAAGGAGCCACCGTGCTTGGGGCTGCGCAAACACAGCGTGAGAAGGGGCTCGTCCCCAAGGACCGTGAGTTAGTCTGTTGTGAGACAGTCTGACAGTCTTCTGGTTTGGGTTTGTGGGTCTGAGATCTCGGCTCCTCTGCCTCCGGGTAAATTTTCTGACCCATCCCCCAAAAACGCAGCAAAAGAGGCACAATGGTGAAAAGCAGCTGGGGTTGCGCGCTGCACCCAAGCTCCTCCGTGAGTGTGGTAGAGCACGAGCAGCTCGGCCTCGGTTCTGAAAACAGTGCCAAAAGCACAGGACAAACAGCCGAAACTCGAGTCAGGGAAAAGAGCAGCCTAAGGGTAATGAAGCCAATTTTGGCTGTGAGTTGCAGATTAGAATCTGTGGAGGAAGCCCGGAGGGAAGAGCACATTGACCCAGTGCTCCTCAGACCTTGGAAAGGTGCATCATCCCAACGGAGCAGGGCTTCCAAAAAACACCACCTGAAGGCATGCTGTCACGGCAGCTCAGGCGGCTGAGGACCAGGCAGAGCTCACAGTGGGACACTGGAGGCAAAGCTCCTCTGCTCCTTCCTCGAGCCGAGGCACCAGCTGGCTGCTGTCAGGCGGGAGAGGTGGGAGGGATGACATTCACAAGGGAGCTCTTTGGGGTTTTGTTGGAGATGGCGTCACCTTCCAGCCCCGTGCAGGATGGGGAGCTGCACCGTGCTCCCCACCAAGGGGCCTGTCCTGCTCATCTGTACGAGTGTGGCTTGTGCTGGCTGCTGCCTAAATGAAAGCAGGAGCTGGAATCAATTTCAGAAATGTTTTGTGTACAAGCAAGACTTGCCACAGGCGGTGCTGGGAAAGATGTAAGGTTAAAGGATTGCGTAAACACTGGGTGAAAAATCTGAACCTTTGCCATGGGATCATTTAAAACCGTTACGATGCTTCAGCTTCAGTTTCTAGAATACAGCGACGAGAAGTTAGGAGAGCACTTGTGCTTCCTGTAACATTAAGAGGCTCAAATGCTGCTTTAGCAAGGCAGCAATGGGCTTTGAGGCTTGGCAGGGTTTAAGCCTCACTGAACTGTGTTTGTGGCATCACCTGAACCAGCACATCACAGGCTCTGCCACCAGCGGTCCAGCGTACTCGTACACCATCCCCTTCCTGCTCTTCGCCCCGGGCCAGGTGGGACTAAACTGCTCCTAAACCAAGCCTTTCCAAATTACACCAAAAGACTAGATTTTTTCTGTATCTCCTCTCTTGTGGGTGAACACGTTTAACCCCAGGACTTTGCTCCATCATCACAATTTTAGGGAGTGGCTTCCTGTTCCCTGCCCTGTGATGAAGACCATGAACAATGGAAGATTCTGAATGCAAAGGTGAAGGGACAGAAATCTGCACTGCCGTCAGTGAGCCTGGGACTCATGCAGGGCTGGGATTAGGAAAACAATCCTGTTTTCAAACAACTGTGCAAGTGGGGCAATAAAGAGAGCAATAAGCACAGATGCATCATAATATGGACAATCACATAATGGAAGAGCTATTTGAAATGCCATTTCAAGGAGAAAAAAAAAAAAAGGAAGGAAATGGAAGGGAAGACACAGGCATTTCAATGTAGCAAGCTTCTAAAATAAGAGGTCTAATAGATTTTGGAGACATTTACTTACTCTTCCTGCCATTTGTTTTCCACCAAACCAAGAAGAATTTGTAAAATATTTCAGTCCTGTCAACTCTACATTCATGCCCCTGAAAAAATTCTATCCAACTTTCTCTTTCAGCTCCAAGCCAGTTGTCATCACTGATAGAGGCAGGCTGAAATCACTGGAGAAAGTCCCCATTGGCCTCAATGAAACCAAAATACACCCACTAGCTCCAAAAGCCAAAAAACCAACTGTGCTTCCCAGCTGGGACATGCCTGTGTGTCAGAACATACTCAGACACTTTGAGAAACTGTGATTTGTGCTCTCTGGCAGGCTGACAGCACGTAAAAGGATCTAACCTGCTGCGAGCTCCTGTATTGAACCTACATCTAAAGCAGTTTCAAGCCACCTTTTTGCCCAGGTTATTGAGTTTTGTCCTCTTGGCTTCAGCACTTCTGGGTTTGATCCCTTTTTCAGGGATTTCCATAGGACTGGCCACCAATGCTCTGAGCAGGCTGCTCCATGCCCTGCAGCTCCCTGCTGAGGGACCCAGCAGATGCCGAAAGTCTTCAGGGGCTCGAAGAACAACTGGAACGAGATCATGTGAAACAAATCCGTTGGGGGCTATTAAATTCAAGGACAGCACTGGCAGCTCAGGAAGTCCTTCAAATACTAATTGCTGGAAGCTGGGAAAGTCGGCTGGGAAAGTCTCACAGGCGCTTGCCTTCTTCTGGTCCTTTCATCTGAGCATCTCCCCTTGGCTCTGTCAGAGATTGAATTTGGGGCTCGTTGGACTTTGGTCTGAACCAGCACAGCCATGTCTTTGCTCCGACATTGCCCAAGTTTCTTTAAATGTTTAGCTCAAGTTTTCCCTCCCTCTCTCTCTATCTTTATTTTTTTTTTTCTTTTTTTTCATGATAATGATGAGTTGGGTTTTTTGGAATGCTGATGCTGTTTTGGGAGTTGTGTGGAGCATATCTACACTAGTTGTGCAATATACTGCTGGCATACTTTTTTGGCAAACTTTCCTTTCACCCAAATTCATATCAGACATTCACTGATTTTCCTTTTCTTTTCTTAGGCAGCTAAACTGCCCAGCTCTCTCTTTGAACAACATTTTGATAGACTGGCCTTGACTCATCACTGGGTCTGGGGCAGGCATGATGCTTAGCTTGCATGAAGCAATGTTGTCATGGTTTTATTCATTTATTTTCTGTGCTCCAGACAGCAAACAGTTTACAAATCCAGTTCTGCAGGGTTTATTGGGATGATGCAGGAGGGAGGGTGGGAATATGGCTGTGGGATACAAAGGAATTTACGCAAATCATCTTCCTCAGCAACTTGGCTGATAAGCAAGCAATAAAATGGTAATAAACAGCAATAAAAGTAGGCGCGCTGGTCTTCAGAATGAAGGCATTTAAAGAAAGGAAACATCAAATCAATGCTGAAAGGCAGCAGGGACAGACAGGAAGGATAGTACTATCTAAAAGTGAATTATGAGAGCAAATCATTTAATGGTACGACAGCAAAGGCACCTCACACATCAGATGCAGGAAGGCAGGGCAGTTATTTAACGCACCTGGTGCACATCAAAGAGAGAGGCTGCTGGGTCGCAGCCCCCAAAATAACCCTGCAGAGACTGAACTGAGAAGGTTCATCTGCTGAAGGGCTACAGATAATGGATGCTGAATGGGTGCAGGCGCAGCAGGGACCCACAAACCCCAGCAATGGGCTTTGAAGCTCCTGGGACGTGACCAGGGCTATGAGGGAGCTCCAGCACAAACACCACCATCTGCTTCTGTCCTCGTTCTTGGGGCCTCTGTTTGATATGTTTGATTTCCTTTCCACAGGAAAGGAAATGCCCCAAAGGGACATCTGTGCATGATCACTGTGCCAAGGGACTTCCCTCAGTGCTCCAAAAAGGCTGGACGAAAACCCTTTTCTCTGTCCACGCTGCCAAATGTGCCAGTGAAGAAACTCTTGGCTGGCAACCTTGCTGCTCATGGTGTTTAATGATCGTGACAGCTTCATGTCAGCACTTGGGAGAGATGTTTTATTTCCCATCTGCTGACATGGAGCCAACAAGGGCCCCGTGGCTCCTTGCTCCCCATTGGCCCCAACGCCTGTCCCTAGGGACACAGGCGGCCTCAAGGCTGAGGGTGGAACAGAAGCCTTCATTTCTGCCCGAAGAAATTGGGCTGGTGTTTTTTAGAAGGGGATGAGGAGTTGGGAGGAGGTTGAATGGTTTCCTGCAGTTTGAAGCATTTATGGCCTCTGTTATGCCTTATTTCAGCTTCTCCCATCCGAAGCCCCCTGCACGTCTCCAGCAGGTATGGTGAGAGTCAAATAGGGCAGTGCACGGGCATGGCCCGCTCCTGCAGACAATTATTTGGGAGGGCGAACAGACTGAAATGAGACACAACTCTAAAGCTGGAGTAAATGGAATGATAAGCAAACTCTTCCAAAAATTTTCCTTTAAGAAAATAATAAAAAAAAAAATCAGGCACAGATGCAATTAACATCACCCAGCTGTGCCTCCTGATCCCCTTTGGGTTTTATGGGGTCTAAGGTGCAGAACTTGGGATTTTGGTGTCTCCACCAACAAACCAAACCCAAGAGTTTACATTAAGAACCAACTCATACAACAAAACTAAAACCACTGCATTTTCATCAATTAGCAGGTCAAAGACACTTCCTTGTTTTACTTTTTCCTTTTTTTACTTCCCCATGCTGTCATATTAGAAGACACTTAGATTTTTTAAAAGAAAGAGAATTATCGTCAGAAACCAGCTTGAAATGCAAGTCTTCCTGTTTATGAGTGGAAGATACTGCAGCGCTTCTCAGGATAGCTTGTGTTTCTGCCGCACTGTTAAAAATACATTATGGATGTCAACACCTAATTACTCTGACAACTGCCGTTACTTCCCCTTGTGCTTTTTCCACAGACAGACTCAAAAGGAGGAAGACCGGACAGTTTTTTTTTCTCTTAAAATCATTGACTGAAAGGGAAGGGTGAATCCCTTGGGGGGGAAGGTGGGGGGAGGTTGCTCCTGGTGCACATGGGATATTTTCATCTACCGATGCTCTGAATAAGCAGTGGAAGGAGAAAAAAGAACAGCAGACGGTGTAAGACACAAAGTGAGCGTTTAATTCCTACTCAGGGCTTCCATCGGGAAGTCTGACCGTGGATATTCAAGGTATCCTAGCAGAACTGAGAAGACATCCCACAACAGGCAGGGGGAGCGGGGCTGAGCCCAGCCTAGACGTACCCCACCAGCCGCGCCGTGCAGGGGAAGCTCTTGCGCATCCCCATGCACTTCTCCTGGTCAATGAAGAGAGAGTTGGCTTTGACAGCCAGGTCGTGCTCCAGGACTGCCTTGGACCGGACCAACGTCTGCAGCGTGTCCTCGGCATCCCTCAGGCGCTGCTGCAGGCTCTGGATCGTCTCATCGAGTTCGTGGACCTCATTGACGAGGCTGGGGAACAGCAAGAAACCTCATGAGCATGGAGGCAGAAGGATTTCCCCCTTCGGTGAGGTCAGGTTAACTCGACCCTGTTTTCTGGCAGCCGTGCATGAAAGCTGAGGGCTGGGCTGCTCCTCCGTGTGAAAGCCGAGGGCAGGAGGCTGCACCAGGGCAGGGAGCCCCAGTGGTTTCCTGTTCCCCTTCGGGTTTGCGGCTTTGTCTGTTCACCCTCCTGGATTTCCCTGGGCAAGGGTCCTCCCCACACCCAAAGACACACAGCCAGCAGCAGAGGAGAGTTGTGAGAGGCTAAAAGTGAATGTGAAACTAGTGGAAGACAGAAAAAAAAAAAAAAAAAAGGAAAAAACCAATAGCAAGTGAGATGTTAAAGAGGGTCAAGAGCTGAGTGTTCTGAGAAAGCTTAAAATTGCTTTTCAAAGATTTCCCTTTGGATCAGGCCAAGGGGCGGCCCAGGCAGGGAGCTCAGCCCCCTCCTTGCTGCATGGGGGTGGCTGCTCGGGACACCCTTGGGTGCCCGGTTTCTCCTCCAGGCAGAGACAGCATCGGGGTGATGCTAATGAGAGGAGAGCAGAGGTGGCATCAGGATGGGTAAGACACGAAGTAGGAAGTGGCTGAGCTCTCCCCAGGATTTCTTCCTTTCTCTGAGAAAGGGGAAGACCCCTCCAGATTCACAAACCCACCAGCTCCCACCCAGTAAACTGGCCAGCTTAGGTTTGTTTTTCCTTCTGTGCCTACAGCAGCAGCAAGGTCACCGCCAGGGGCCAGGGAGACAATTCCCTTATCTGTGAAACATCCTCGCTTCTGCCTCTTGGGGAAGCTGCTGGTTTTGGCCTGCCTTCCTCCCAGAGTGCTTGGTAACCTTGGAAGGCTGAAGGGAGAAGGAGGAGGAGGAGGCACGGAAGGAAGCCCTGGCCAAGCCTCTCCTGCTGACGGGGCAGATAAGACCTTGAAGGAATGCCAAGAAGCAGTTGCGCAGCCTGCCCCAGTCTTCCAGGAGCCTCCCGCGATCCTGCACTCGAGAGTTTTTGTTTTCCACTGTCCCCAGGGCAGGTGAGGACAGTCCTTGCTGCTACCTGCTTCTCCCTGTGTTGCACCTTTCTTACTGTTACCCCAGGGGAAGGAGCTGAGTGCTCTCAGGGTGATGCCATGGGGGAGCAAGAGGCTTATCCTTCCAAACAGGGCACATCCAACCATGGGGAGGAGGACATTGATCCAAGTGGGATCAATTCAGACCAATTCAGCCCCTCATGGGGTAGCATCAGGCTGTACCTGGCCATGGTGTGGCCATGGCACAAGAGCCTTCTCTGTGGGTGCAAAGCTCTCCCAGCACCAGGGATGCTTGCTCAGTGCTTTCTACTATATGCATTTAAACAAGGACTATATAGAAAAAAATAGACCCCAGTCAGTTTTGTCACCCAGTGATGCTCCTGAGGGCCACCACTGGTGACTCCTCATGGGTGCTGCCAGCCCCACGCTCCGGCCTTACCGCAGCTGGGCGCTGTCCCGGCACAGCTCCACGTGGGGCCTCCGCGTGCGCTCGTCCAGCCGGGTCTGAGCGACTTTTAGCGGAGGCACTTTGTCCCTAATGGCTTTTCGGATGGCTTCGATGCTCATCTCGATCTGGAAGATTTCCTGCAGTGTCTGGCATGAAAAAGAAACAGGTGCATAAATTCAAAAGTGCATTCTCAAATAACAGCATCGTTTCCCATTTCCCTGGACCTGGGCCAGGTCTGCAAGGAGGTTTTTGCTTGGGAGACACCACTGAGAAGAGATCATTTTACACCAGAAGGGAAGGGCTGAGGGCACCTTGGCCAGGTGGGTCTGAATCTTGCTCTTGGCGTCGGCTGTCTCGGCGATGCGGTTGGTGAAGGCGACGTTCGCGCTGTTGAACTGATTCCACATCTCGTTGGCGGTTACCACCAGCAGGTTCTCGATCTCATCCCGCAGCTTGGCAGAGGCCGCCCGCTCGCTCTGGGAGCGCAGGATGTTGTCGTCTGTAAACTTGGCCCAGGAATCCGGCACCGAGATGCTGCGGGGGGAAAGGGGAGGCCCCCGGTGGCCCCATGCTGCTGGAGCTGCCCATGGGCAGGCACCAGATTGGGTTAAACACAGCCTCCCAGGGATCCGTGCTCTTTGACCACATGAAAAGTTAAACATCTGGACGCCATTCATCCCATAAAGGTTATCAAATACTGACATGTCCACGACAACTCTGCAATAATTAGGAAGGCTCACACAAACAGTAGATTCCCATAGAAAAAATGAGATTTTAATCAGCCCTCGTATTTACATGTTAATGGCATTAAAGTGCCAAGTGATTCACAGCTCTGTGACAACACACAGACTGCACTGACTCATTTTGCTCGTAACTTATCTCAATTTCATACAAAACTGAATGAGCATTAGATAATACTCGATTCCCTGTCTGTGCACTCGGGATGGAGTTCACGCCTGTGCAGCAGTCCAGAACAAGGTCAACAAAAGCCTCAAATACCACATAAGCTCCATTTAAAACATGCTGATCCTCTGCACATTTTACCCCCTCTGAATTTCAGCATCAATCCTTTGCAATTCATTTGCCTGTCTAAATATGTCTGAGCTCTGTTGTGAAGTATTATTCAAGCACCAGAAAAAAACGAATCAATCCATGTGTGTCCCCCCCCAACAACTGCATGTGTCTGTGTGCACAGCAGATTTATCCCCCGAGCCCTTTGCCACTCGCAGCATATCTCTGCGAGTGCTGCTTTAGGTCATCGTTCATTTATTGCAGAGCCAAAGCTGAATTCCTGGCACCCAAAAGCATCTGAACTCTGTCCCAGGACCATGCTCTCTACTCCTTTATCTTCTGTGCCACCTGGGCTCCCTGCCAGCCCCTCTGCCAGCAGGGGTGAGCCCCCAGACTTTATGTCAGTGAAGAGCACCTGGGAAGCAGCGACACAGCCTTGGACATGTGCACGGACCTAACGAGGTGCGTCGCCGTGCTGAGCTGAATTCGTTTTCAGGCTGATCTCTGCACCCTGATCTAATGTTTAATTAGGTGGGACGCATTTCATTCTGCTTTTTCTCTCTAAACCTTGTTCTTTGAGCCACCCAGTACAGAGGGCTGGGCTGGATATGGCACACTGAGGCACAGGGGATGGGGACAGCCGGCGCTGTGCCAGAACAGCCAGTGCCGTGCCAGGACAGCCATCGCTGTGCCAGGACAGCCACCACCACACCAGGAGTGCCATCACCGTGCCAGGACAGCCACTACCACCCCAGGAGTGCCACCACACCCCTGGGACCCACAGCCCGGCACCAGAGTGCACTCACGTGGCATCGACCCGCTCCACCCCGCGGTGGTAGCTGATGCCATCGGAGGTGTTCCTCAGGTGGTGGCACTTGTCGTCGATGCGGTAGGCTGTCTGCTTGTTGGCCAGGTCCCTCTCCACCTCGTGCTGGGCCGCCCTGTTGGACCTTTGGCAAGGAAAGAGCAGCCGTCAGTGTCCCGCGTGGCTCAGGGCTTTCCCCTGGGACTGCGGGCTCCCACAAGCATCGCCACTTGTTTGTATGGGGCTGACAGAGGGGGTCGCATCTACAGGATGGGGTAAGGGTGGGGGTCTGCTGGGGGTTCACATTACAGCTGCAAAGTCACTTCAGCCCTGCCGCACGAGCTGGGAGCTGCCCCTTACGCGAGCTGGGCTTTCGCCCTGTCCAGGAAGCGCTGCATCCTCTCCTGGCACGACCTGATGACGTCCACCTCCTGGGCAGAGACAAAGCACAACAACGTCAGTGTCCACACTCGTTGGTCCTGGTCACACTCATCCCCTCGGGCCTCTCCAGCCCTGGTGTAGTGACCAGGAAGGGGACAGGACAGTGCCATGGCCACAGCCGCAGCCTTTGCCCTGACTTTCGGGGGGTGGCCAAGCATTTTCTCGTCTTGATTTCCACTCCAAGCGGTGCTTAGTGCCGCACTGTGGCAGCAAGGCCAGATCCTGACCTGGTCTGACTGCTCATAGCAGTTACCTGGATGAGCTACACAACCATCCCCAATCAGCACCTGCCCTTTTTGCTCCCGGAATGTTTTCTACCCCAGGAGAGATCCCACACAAATGGGACAAGGAGATGGATTTTCCTTCAATGCGAATTCCCAGCCACTTCTAAGAACGAGGCTGGAGGAAGGCATGTGCTGCTCACCACTCTCCTGACCTCAGCACACCTCCGTCATGTTTGTGCAGCTCCAGATCCTGGAGGCAGTGATCGGGAGGCTCCAAAACAGGTAATTTTTAAGTTCTCCTGTTTGTAACAACCAGCTGAAAAGTACGGCCTAAATGTGTCCTCAACACTTGAAATCCAAACAGCCATTATAAAGATACCAACTCTGATTATTTTCCTAAAATCTCATGACCTTTAAACCAATTTGCTAATTTTTAGGGCCTGACTCATAAGAAAAAATCTTCTAACAGAGCAGTGGCTTCACAGTCCCAGGGGCTGCCGTTTCCTTCCCAGCTTCACGAGGCCCTCGCAGTGATTGTGCTTTGCTGTGCCCTGGGTTAGGATCCCATCTTCTGTGCCAACTCTCATCTTGTTTGCTTTTATTCATAATTTAAAGCAGACTATATAAAGGCAGGCAGGAGTGCACGTTTTTATGGTTTCTATAAAATGTACTGCTTAAGTACACAGAGCGGCAGTCCTGCTGCAGCCGTGCTGCTCTGAGCAAAGCAAAGATGGGGGTAGATGTAATATTTTTATTAGACTGGCGAGTACAGCTGGGAAAAGCAGAGAAGCCGTCGGCCACACACTGCCTCCCTCTATCTGTACGTGCATATCTGTGTGTGCTGAGATGCATGTAGGTGCTGTCCGGGCAGGGCTCTGGGGTGCAGGACACGGGGCAAGAAGACGGGGACAGAAACTGCTTGAAGGGGGACCAGGACCTCTGCATACTGCACAACGACACAGCTGCTTTCCAGTAAGTTAGGGAAAGTCTTACCCCAAAATGTGGGCGTGCTGTTGATGGACACACTATCCCTTGGCCCAGGGACTGAGGGGTTTAGTGCCCAAGAGCCAGCTATGGGACAGGTAGGGCAGTTTAGGCAGAAGGAGCTCTAGCACATGCTCTGTGCTGCCAGACTCACTGTGAAGAGCTCTTTCTCCACGTTGTCGTGCACCAGGTCGATGCCCATCCTCTTCTCCCGGTGGAGCAAGCACTCCTGAGCGACCTGTTGGGGACATGCCAAGCTGCAGAGACAGGGTCCCCACCTCCAGTAACATAAGAGAAAAGAAAATGGAGGTGGGCACAGCGAGGAAAAACGTGTCCAGGACAGGGTTTAGCTGGCAATGAGCAGCTGAGCTGCAACATCAGCATTACATTGTACGAGGAGTGCACGTGGCCCTGGTGCACCCGCAGCTGTGCACGGGGACCCGGGTCTGGCTGGAAGCTGACCTCACCCGAGCCACGTAGCACAACATGGGCTTTCCTATCCCAACCCAAGATGTTGGATATACTGCTAATAAAAATATTTGGTTAAGCAAATAGTGTTCTGATGTGCTCAGCATGCACTGATCGGGGATGCAGCAGATGGCGAGGGGCTTGTTTACTGCTGACTTAACTAACGGTCCCTTAATAAAAACTTTCTAGACATTACGGGGCTCCAATGAAACTTAATTAGACGTTTGAATGGCTGCAGATGTCTCAGCAGCAGTCTGCAGTGTGCAGCCTGCTGGGCACAGCGCTCACCTGGAGCGGAGCCTCGGTCTCTGCCAGGGCTCTTTCCAGCCGCCTCTTCATGTCTGAGAGTGCGTTGGTCTCCCCGATCATCTCATCCAGCTCATGGCAGAGCTCCGACTTCCAAAAGTCGATGTCATTGACACGCTCTCCCAGGTTTTTGGTGCTCTCCGTCTGCGTTTTCTTCGTCTGCTGGTACTTGTCCTGAATCAGGCGGGAGGTGTCGACCCTGAGGTTCTCCGAGTTGTGCCGGGACGTCTCCGACTCCCTGTAGTTGGTGAGGTTGGAGCGGTACCAGTCATCGGGGGTGTACCGGGTGAAAAGGGACGTCCTGTTGGAAACGAACGGCAGCGTCTTGCTGGGGGTGAGCCCCTGGGCGCTTCCAGAAAAGGGAGCCAAAGTGGGATTGATGGCAGCCGTCCTATAGTAGGCGCTGGGTGCCCAGGGAAGGCTGAAGCTCTGAGGCAAGGGGTAGTAAGGAAAACGGTTCTTGTAGCTCGAAGCCATGGTGCTGATGGCAGGCAGAAAGTTGGTGGGGGTCGACCTCGGGTGGGCATGAGTCGCCGTCAAGGGCGAGCCGACGAGCTCCATGCTTGGTCGCTGCTCTTAGGGCAGGGGTCCTGCAGGGGGAGGAGGCAGGAGTCGCACTCAGCAAGCATTTCTTGTAGCAACACAAGCGATGTACAACACCAAGAGCAAGCACGCAGCACCCACACAGCACCCAAACGGGCTTAGAGCTCTCGAGAGCAAATCCCTCCTGACAGCATCCCGAGCACTTGTATATACAAGGATTTGGCTTTGTTGTTAGTATCTGGTGTCAGGTCTTGAAAAGCAGAGAGAAACAAATCATCGCTGCTGAGGAGAATGACAGATATTATGCCTTCATTTTCCTTAAATCTGTCATTCCAATGAAAGTGTAGTTGCTGATTCTCTGCTGTTCATTTGTTTCTTTTGGCCGGCATATCTGCTGATCTTACAGTGCTCCAGATGTGATTTTCCCTTTAAAAGTTCCATTACCGGCCCTGATAGCTGTGTCCCTTTGGGGCTGCTACCAACCCAGCGTGATTTGTGGGTGAGGGGCTCTGTCCTCACTGCACCCTCACTTGCACTAAAAGCTCAAGCGAGGAGCCTGCAGGCAGGCTGAGCTGTGCAGAACTACACTCAAATTCAAAAAAACTCCCACCAATTTTACTTAAAAAAAAAGGCATCTCTCTTGACTTGCAAAGGAAGAAAAATGTCTGTGTTGCAGCCAATGTCAAATAAATGCACTTGGAAAGGAGAAATCATCCCACAGTCTTTCGGGGGCAGCTTGTAAACGCCAGCAACCCAAGGCAGTAACCCAGAGCAAAACAGCCCAGGCAGACTGGCACCACTGGATGCCCTCACAGGTGGGGGATGCTCCTCAGCCAGGTGAGGTCAGAAATACAAGTCAGAGGGCCAGGTAAAGTACCCAGAGCACCTAACCCAAGGACACGTGCTCAGGAGGGTTTCTTGTGCTTGATACAGAGCTCTTGTATGGTTGCAAGTGTCACCCACAGGCAGAATAAGTCACCACGGCCATCATAGCCTGCTGCCGTGGTACATGGACATGTCCTGCCCCAAACACCATCCCATCCATATCCCACCCAGCCTGGCCAGAGCCCTGCTGAAAGGCTGGGACACCAGCGTGCCACAAGGCCCGTGGATGGCAGGGGTTTTGACACGAGGCATTGCTAAATCCCGTTTGCTACTGCATGCAGTCAACATTATCCCTTTAAAAATAGGCCATTTGCATGCAGTGAACTGGCTGTTATTCTCGAACAAAGTGTCCACACAAGCAATCACATGACGAGCTTTAATTGCTCCTCTTGGGCTACCCTGATCAATTTGCATGAGTAGGCAAGCTGAGAGAGGCCGGCCTGTTTTCGAACTTATAAAACCCTTGGGGAAAAGTGGGGTTTTTGCTTCTAGTCAGCTCTGCAACAAAGAGCACCTCTACAAAAGGCAGGACCAACAACCGCTCACGGCTTCCTACCAAAATGCTTAAAAGAGGATGGATGGGCGAGGGAGAGATGAGCAGGTCCTGTGCCCTGGTGGCACCGCCAGGCTGCTGGCAGCGGGTGACACTCGCTGTGTCTCCGGTACCCGCAATGGTTTGATACATCCATGTGAGCGCTGATCAAAATGCAGCTATTAAATAAATGCATGGCACATACAGGAGAATAACAGGTCCTGCAGCTAGGGTAAGTCAGAGGAAAATAGGGATGAGTCAGAGGGGAAACGTGCCCAGCCTGCAGCTGGGAAATCATTGAACTTTGCGGATGGTATTTTCAAGCTGTGCCCGATTTTGGCCTCTCTCGCCTGGCTGCCCCAGTACCTGAGTCCAGGGCAGCAGAGCTGTGGGCACCGAGCCTCGGCCCCGGGGTCTGACCTGGCCCAAGCAGCGCTGGGACAGGCAGCGGGAAACTCACACCCTCGGGTTTAACAAAAATATATTTGCAAACACGAAGCCAGTCTGGCAGAACCGAGGACGAAATGTCTGTGCTCGGGTCCAACAAAAACCTCTGTGCGTGCCGGTTCCCACAAAGCCGTCCCTTCAGCCCTTTTGTCCCTGCTGGGCTTCACCCAGCTCAGTGCTACTTTTTGTACCTGAGAAACAGCTTTCAGAGAGGAGACAACTTCCCTGGCTCCCACCCCGTACGTAAATTATTCCCTTTCAGATCCTGATATATGTATCTTTAGAAAAGGAGAAAAAAGCCCTTGGGAATGGATTGGGGTTGTATTTCCCTGCATTTCCAGCTGAAATAAATGTTCCTGCCTACCCCTTGGGATAAACCGCCCTCAGGTGACACTTTCTGCCCCCCCTGAACACAGATGCTCTGGAGCCCCCCACCACCTGAGCACATGCTTTGGGGTATAAGAGGTATCACCCCAATGATAACTGGAGGGGATTAGGAAAAATATCTACTTCTAACACCCCCATAACTCCCAGCTTACCTCTGCTGCCTGGGTGGGTGCTCAGGGGGTGCCTGGGGGCTGCCCCTCACCACCGTGCTGTCAGGCTGGGTGGCAGCAGCGCTGGGTGCTGCATCATCCCCAGCACCCGGCTGCCAGGGACACAGGACCTGGGGGGGGACGTTGCTACGGGCGCTGGGTGCTCAGTGACCGGATTCTGCCTGGGCAACCTCCTGCAGCTGCTATGGCAACCTGGGGATGCTGTTGGGCAATGCAGCGTTCTCAGCGGGCATCCTAGTGCCTGCCCTGGGCAACCTACTACCCCCACTGGGCAACTCAGTGCAGCCCCTGGGCTACTCAGTGCAGCACCTGGGCAACTCAGTGATGGCTCTAGGCTACTTGCTGCTGGCCCTGGGCTACTTGCTGCTGGCCCTGAGCAATCCAGTGCAGCTGTTGGGCAACCCAGTGCCCTAAATGCACCACCCAGTGCAGCCTCTGGGCTATGCAGTGACTGTGCTGGGCGACTTGATCCCACCCCTGGGCAACCCTGTGCTGGCCTCGGACATCCTAGTGTTAGGGCTGGTGCTCCTGGGCCAGCCCTACATCACACTTTACCCAGGGGAAACATTTGCTTTGGCTTCATTTTATCCCTTTAGACTAACTGTCAGCAACGCGGATGGTAAATCAAATATTCAGGCTGATGTTTGTCCTTTCGTATTCCATTGTCAGCTTCTTCTCATTTTCCCACCTATTGCAGTTGCTGCCTGAGACGGTACCAAAATGCTTTACAGCCTCTCGTGAGCAGAAATCCAGAAATCCTTGCCTCTTTGCCAAAGATCCGACAGAAAAAATAATTCAGTCCAACTGCTTCGCGTATACAAAGCTCAGCATGCTTTGATTTCACTTTAAACACTCATCTTGCTTTAGCCGGGTGAAGAATCAACTTAATCAAACTGAAATAAAAGGCTCAGCACACAAGCTGCTTTTCTGCAGCTCAGCCAGATCTTTCCAGCAGCCGATGGGCAGCCTCTGCCCCTCGGCAGGACCCAGCCCAGATCCGTGCCCCCCGCATCCATCCCCGCCTGCACGCCCTGCTCCAGCTGATCTGGTTCAGGTGAAAAACTGCATGATGAGGGATGCCACTAGTGGTTGTAGGTCACCACACTGCTGCAGAGGCGTTGGCTGGAATTAAGCAGTAATATTTAGATGGCGTTGTAAATGGCCCACCGGTAAAGCATTTAGGGAAGGGACTTTCTAGGGATGCATCGGTGGCAGCAGACAGGGACATGAGCACTCTGCTGCAGGGGGACAGAGGGGACAGCAGAGTGGGTGAAACTTCGGTCCCATCACAGCATCTGCAGTGGATTTTCAAGTGCTTATGATGTGCCTAAAAGCTACAAAGGTGAGGCTTCAGTGAAACTGCCAAATTCACAAGCTGAGTGACTCCAAAGCAAGAAGTTACCAACTGCACCCAGTACGTGAACCCGATACCCCTCATGCTCCAGTAACCACGCTGATTTAAGTGGACAGTTCACATCACCTCCACTCATTCCAGCAATTAAACCCAGTCTCTTAATTACAACTACGACTTTGACAACAGCAAATTCACTAAAATCACAGACCTCCCACTCCCAGTTCCAGTGGGACATCCCCAGACTTGCTGGACGTGTGAGAACACCACTCGTCCCAAAGCCTTGACCATTTTAGCCCAGAGCCAAAAAAGAAACAAGCGTGGAAGCGTGAGGCTGATGTGACGCACTGGTGCCAGCCCAGGTTCGCCTGCTTGGCTAAACTGGAATTACAAGGGATACATTTAGATACCTAAGTACAAAATCTACTGCCAAAAGCTGTCAATCTTGCTGTCACAGCTCTGCGTTCTCACTGCCTATTAATACATCTGGGATCGTAAGCTGCCTTTCTGAAAATACCCAGATCCGGATTCTTTACAGCATCTGTCAAAGAGCCCACAGAACATTGCCCCATCACAGAGCTTTATTCTGCTTTTGAGTGTTCCTCTCTCTCCTTGTATCTGCCTGAAAGGGATCTATTGTCTGTGCAATAGCAGAACACTTTTCAAAAGACACATCAATTCATGAAGAACTGAAAAAAAATTAAACCACGTGTGGTGTGTCCTGTGCTGTCATACCGCAGGGCAGGGATGTTCACAGGCAGCACATGCTCACCCTGGCCCAGGGCTACTTTAGGATTCCAACAGCTTTCAAGATTTTATCTATTTGTGAAAGCAAGGCTGGCTTCTAGGGACGAGCTGCACCCATGGGTCCTGCTCTTGGCTCCATCTGGCTGGGAAATGCATGAGACTTTCCAGGGTTTTGCTGGAACCTGTTCCAGTGAAAACTGTGATTGAACATAAAAGATGAAGGGCCAAGGACTCTCCAGGCAAGTCCTGAGATGCCTTGGTCTCTACACATGGCCAGTGAAAAAATATGTTTATGGCCACTGCCAAGCCTCTTGCTGCTGTGCTGGAGGCTGGGAGCAGCAGGAGGAGGGCTGCAGGGTTGGACACCAAATCTGGAGGGAATGAAGGGGAGGATGAGCAGCTTGGCAAGGAGAAAGAGGTGACTTTGGGCACGTGAAGCCACTGGAGATCATGTAGGGCTCAACCCCTTTCCTCTGCCAACAGTCCTGTGAAGAGCTCAGGACCTTCCCCCATGGCTGGAGAAGCCCAAGCACCTCTGCTGGCCCCTCCAAAGCCCCATGCAGCACCTCAAGTACCACCATTCTGCTGGTGGGACCTGTCAGAAACCCCAGCTCCTGGACCTGCTGGCAGTACCTCTCTGCGCTCTGCAGGTAGACAGGTAATGCCAAATTCAGATCCGTGGTTAATCCCAGCTCCTTTGAGTCACTTCTTTGGTTTCCTTAAACAGCTACAAAAATGCATCCCCAACAGGACCAGACTCCCCTCCCTTGCTCTGGTTTAACATGGGATGAACTCTACATCGTCAGCGAGCCTGTTAATGCTGCAATGCAGGTGGGCCCATCTGCATGCTACCAACTTTACAAAGGCTTGAGAAAATATCTTGTGTGTATTGCAGCCCCATCCTGCACCCAGTTCCAACACAGGAGCTGTTCATAGAAAAACTGATGAAAACATGCGTTGTGAGACTTTTTCTTTCTCTGAGGTGGAAGCGTGCTGTAGACACCTTGATGCTTTGAAAGAGATGTGAGCAATACACCAAATAGTTTGCAGAAATCAGTGGCAATTATCTGAGAGAATCGTTTTTATCTATGGGCTTCATGGGAATTTTTTCACGTAAGAGGTGGTTAGTGATTGTTTTCCCAGAACCTGCCTTTTCTGCCAAAGTTCCCCTCTCCTTTTCCACCCTGGCTTTCAGCTTAGCAAAACCCTGATTTTCCTACCAATAAACCCAAGGGATACATTCGTGCCAACTGCTAGTGAGCAAGGGCAGGCTGCAGAGAGGGGGCAAAACAAAACCTCAGACCTCTGCCCTGTCCTACCAATTGCTCTCTGGTCATCCTGGAGCTAGAGCGCCCGTTCCCACCTCCTCCCACCCTCGTCCTGATGGGGTGAGCAGTCCCACTTCAGCCCTGCCCCAAAGCAGAAGGTTCAGCCTCCTCTACTGGAAGACAAGTCACCAAATTGGCACAGGCCCCAAAGAAACAATTGAGTTAAACCAGCAGGACCTGTTGTGTGGAGAAGCACATGACATCGATGCTGACTTACCTCTGTCCCCACACAAAACTGCCCCAGAGCAAAGATGCTCAGGAGCTGCGCGTGGTGTGCCAACAGGAGCCCTCTGCTCCCAGCTTGACCCACGGGGACAGCTGAATGGAGTCCCCTCCCCTAGGGTTAGGCATTGCAGCCTAAAGCATTTCCCTTTATACTCAGTGGGAAGAGAGAGGCCTCTACAGAGGCCTTTATCTGAACTGCCCTAGGTGCTTTTTTAGGATTCGAGAAGCAGTGCAGGGGGAGGTGCATTTCTCCCAAGTCCTGTCAGAGATGCACCAAACGATACCCAGAGCCTTATGCCTAACTGAGCCAGGGCAGACGAGCCTGACTCTCTCAGATGAACCATCCTTAGACCTTCAGCAAGGTCAGACCTGCCAAAAAGCTGACCTCAAAGTCTGGGATTCCAAAGATACCAAGCATGGAAAATTGCTTCTTAGGTGATCATCACTTGAGGCTCTTCACGAAGAAGAAACAGATCAAGATGAGAAAGCAGACTGGTAGATGAATTATTTAGTCTAACCATAGTAGCACATGAGTGAGCTTTCCAAACAATAAATGTGGCATGAATAAATCATCACAAATCCCTCCTTGAGCTCTCGCGATGAGTCACAACCACCAAACCGCAGCTCCTTGCTCTGCCCGCTCAGGGCAGGCTACGCCGCGTGTCCACAAGGGTTGGATGCAGATAACCCACGTAATCCTAGCCGTGTGAACTCAGGAAACACAACGGTTTAGTTTATTGGCAAATTTCTCAGCGGTGCCCAAGTAACCGCAGGAAATAAAAGTGACTTATCTGGGGGAGGGTCTCCCCGTAGCTGCCTGTGGCAGGGCCAGGTCTTGCTTTCTGCGTTGGCTTTGTTGCAAAGTCCAAAGCTGTGGGAAAGATGTGCCTTAAATTGCATCCAGCAAGCAAAGGGCTTGTTCGCACCAGTGTGAAACTGTTATAAAATTCAATCAGCTACACAAACAAATAATATGCACGCAAGCAAGAACGAGACAGTCCTGCGCATACCCGCTGGTTTGCAGTCATATAAAAGGTCTAGACATTGGCATGAAAAAAGACAAAAATATGCACAGAGCAGACGATGCAGAGCGTAACACCACGTCTGGCTCCTCATGGGACCTGCCAGGGGCCTGACGGGGTTTTGTTCTTCCATTTTGTAATAACTGGAATGACTTCAGTGAGCTTGGATGCTGCTCTGTACAGTTTGTTACAGGCTAAGCATGTGCCTATCCCTGCAGAAAGACCCTGCTTCTGCACAGGGTCACATTTCAGGGTTACCTCCTTGGCCACCTCTGGCACACAGAAAATGACTTATCCCCATCCCCAACTAGTTTTCCTTTGTGAATCCCATCTCGATGTGCAGCCCTGGATTTATCAGGTGCAACTTTCCAGCACCCCAGGGGCTGGATTTTTAGAAGAAGGCCAGGCAAAAACCACTCAGAGCCAATGGCACTGTGGTCCCATAACCGATGGAGCGTGAGGAAGGGAGATGAAATCAGTTTCTCTACACTCGCTTTGAAACATCCCACCCGTGAAAGCATTTAACCATGTGCTGTTTATTAACATCCCCACCAGCCCCAGTATTTCAGTGCAATTTAAACACAAACCTAAAATTAAGCCTAAGCATCTGAGATCTGCTGAGTAGAAATGGATGGTTCGTGTGATTAATGCTAGGCACATGCTTTTGTGCTTAGCTGCAGTGAGTTATTGGTGGCCTCTCCATGCTCATATACATTCCCCATTTCTGAGCCAGATGTGAAAGCAATTAGCACAATGGGAAGACTATCTTTAAGTCTGTGGGGCTTTTTATAGGTTGGTGTTTATTTTTGGACCTACTTTCTTGAGGTGAACTTTGGCAGGCTGTTCAAGGACTGGTTTATGTCATGACTGGCTATTGTTTGAAGTTTTTTATTGCTTTGGCAAGGCTTTGGGTTGGAAAGAGGAGGGGGGAGCTTTTGTATTTTTTTTTCTCTGTCATCTTATTCTGGCTACTCTTTAACAGGCAGCAAAAGGATCACAAAGTCTCTGGTGCCAATAGGAGCGACCTCAGCTTCTGCCTCCTCAGGAAATAGCAAGGGCTGAAGGCAGTCCTGCTATGGAAGTGCCCAGAAAGGTCATCTGGAAAAAAGAACAGCCTCATGGAAACTGCTTTTAAAAAGAGGAAAATATAAAAAAAATCTCTCTCCTCACTTTTCAGGTCCCCTTGTGGCATGGCCAGGATGTTCTTTCCGCAGCCATATAAATACCTTTCCCTGTGGCACTGCACTCTGGTGAAGAAGCTTTGCCCCTCTGCAGCACCTTATTACACAGCCCCTCACTTGCCCAGGCTGCAGGGCTCACGTCCCCAGGGAATTAACCCCCAGCAGGCGCAGGAGGTCCAGAAGATGGAGGTCCTGGTAGCGCTGCCATCAGCACAGTGCCAGCGAGGTGCTGGAAGCTCTGTGGTTCTCTTCTCCACCCCTAATGGACTCTTCCAGTTCAGGGCAAAGAAAAACACCTTCTGTTTTCAGTATGTCCTCAGCAAACACAGTAAAAGTCCCTTGCCTGAACTGCTGCAGCAAACCTGCTGGACACAGCATCAGGAGCCATGCGATGCTGTGTTTAAGCTCCCTTCGCACATCTGCTTGGTTTCTACAGCAGCAACACTGAGTGGGTGATGTGCTGGATGTGCTACAGCCATTAGGGAGGAATTCAGCCAGCCCAGGGCAAAAACAGCCTCGGCCCATCCTTTTTCTGTGCCCTCTGCCTCACTGGGGTTAGGGTACAATTGGGTGCTCACACTTGGGTGCAGAGGTGAGAAAATGCACAGGAGCTTCGTCTCCATCCCCACACACCAACCCTGGGACCTCCTGAAGCTGCAGCCAAAACTCGACAAAGTAGATATGAGCTGCTGTTACTCACATTTTCCAAAATACAGGAGTCGTCGGCTGGATGGTTCCAGTGCTGCTCTGTTCTGGACACACACACCAAACATTCACAGTGCTTATGAGTGCAGTTATTTAAAAACACCACCCAGTCTGTGCTTGGCTCTGAGCAGAGCTGATTTAAACACTTCAGCTGAGTGTTCACCTGCAGAGTTACTTCTACTGCAAATGAAGCAATAATTCCATGTGGTTGCTATTATTCAGTATCACTCGTTAGCTCAAGGGACTTTTATCTCCAGAGGAAATTTCCTTTTATCAGATTTGGCCACTGAAAGCTCTGATGAGCATAAAGCATGCGTAGTTAAGAGCCATTTTGAAATGTGATACGAAATCAAGATATGATTTAGTTGCTGCATAAGGACACCAAAGCAGCCTACCTGCTTGGCCAAGCATTGTGCTGGATGTGGAGCCTGGATCTGCACTGCCTGGTCCTTTTAGAAAATTTGGCTTTCTCGCCACATTCGCAGCTGGCCCTGGGAGCTGTCACAGCCCCAGCCAGAGATGGATCCTGCAACATTCCCAGGATGAATTTGGGTCCATTCCCAGCCACAGCCCAGGCACACACCAGCAGTCAGGTCAGCACCACACTGCTGTCTGTACATCAGCAGCCGCGGGGGCTTGAGGATTACAGGGGACATTTACTCCTCGAAACTCTTTCCATGCACAGCTAAAAAATAATTAAGAGTGCTGTAATCACACTAGATTCCGTAAATTACTTATCTCATTTGGTAGTGTGTTTTTTTTATTGTTTTGTTTTGTTTCATTTTTCTAGATCAAATTTCCTAATAAAAAACCACTTTTCTTCTATCATTGGTGAGTGTCTCCCATTATCTATCTGCTCCCAATGCACCAGCGAGAGGAGCGTTTCCTTGCCGCTGCGCCCCGCCGCAGACCTTTAGCGCTATCATTAAGATTCGATTACGTAAATATTTTGCCCGATGCTTTATCTCATGTTACATGCAATTTTTATCCTTGGAACATCGTGGTCCACTTAGCCAGATGGAGTGTGCGGTGCCTGCTACAGAAAACAGCCAGCAGGGCTGAATCGATGCGCTTCCTCCCCTGCAAGTGGCGTGTATTTTCAAGCAGTTTAAGCAAAATAAAAGGTGCTTTCTGAGTGCATTCTGAGCAGCCTTCGGGAAAAAAAAAAAAAAAAAAAAAAAAGTTAATTTTGGCATTTCTGGGGAGATGAGTGTTGCTCCTCAGACTAATTGGCAAGAGGATGAAAGTCACTGTGGATAGTCTGGAGCACACAGCTGAGGCGTGCTAGGCGCAGCCTGGCAGAGCAAAGTCCTCTGGCTCCGCACCCCAAACCACCAAGCAGGTTTGCTCTAAAAGGCACCTTGCAGTTTGCAGCTTCAGTCAGTAGCTGAGATTTCCACCTGCATCTCTACAAGTGATGTGCCAACCTCTCACTGTTGCTCTAAATCCCAGTGCTTTTTCCTGAACCTCGAGGGAGCATGAAAAGTTTCTGGTGTGGGGCAATACTGGTGCTGGATCCCCAGCGCTGCTCCTTTTGCACAGGAACTCTATTTTTTCCCCTACCTTTGCTAGCATAGTGCACACAAATGCTTTCTGCCTGCTCACAAGCAGTGCTATCAGAAGTGCATGCATCTCCAAGCACCAGGACACCACTAATTGATTTTAATGAGAGCATCCCGCTACCTCTTGCTCTTCTGCACCTGTATGGGACCAGTCAGAGGAGCTGCTGCTTCCTAACAGCAGCTTCTCCTGCGACCTGAGAGCCAGGCTGGGCTTCTCCAGTGCCACCAACTGTTCTTGGAAGGAGAGAGGCTGGCAGAGAAGTCCTGCACTCAGAAATTCAGCACACGAATGAAGCTGAGGGCAGCAGGGAGAACCCTGCCATGGCTGAGCCCGAGCCACAGCACGATGGAGCTTCGCCTGCCAGCCCCACACAGCAAAAAAACCACTCTGATTCCACCACTAAACAAAAATAGATAAAACCAGATAAGGACACCAAAGCAAATAATAACCAGGAAAGACCTGTGATAAATCATGAAAGCCAGAGAAGTATGCCAGGAAAGTTACATTTTCCCACCCTTTGCTGAGAAGCGATTTCACGCCGTGCCTGCCTGGACTGTCTGCAGCTACTAACAGCTACCAGGAGCTGGAGCGCCTACAGAGACCAGTAACAACACTCCAGAGACCAGTAACAAAACCCAGGGCTTCCAGTAAGGCCACTGCTCATCTCACACAGAGAGACCCGCGGGACTTCCTCAACTGCAATATCTGCTGGGGCTGAGACAGCGCCGAGCTATGGGCAGACTCCTTAGCAAAGAGACTGCCAGGTGAGAGTGAAAAAGTGTATTCACTGCTGTGGATAAACCCTGTGTGCATGTTTTGGGGACCAAATACGAGGGAGAGAGGCACAGATACCAGTGGGAATGAGGAATTTATCAACTGCTCTGCTACAGCTCTGCCTTGTGTAAGCACTTCCACATCCTTCTCCTCCCAAAAATGCCTTGCAGGTGGATGATGAGCACAGGAGCATCGCACAGACCAGAACCTTTCAGCTGCCTCAGGGGAAGCATTTAGTCCTTTGGCACAGAAAATTCCTACTAGCGCCACCCTCACCACCCTGAGCAGATAAGCCCAAAAGGGCCACTTGTGCCACTGAAAAAGGCTCTTTGCTCCCTTGTCCCCACGCAGAGGTCACTCCTCTCGAGAGGTGCAGGCAGCTCGGGTTGGACCAACCCTTCCCAGAGCTGAAATTTTGGCACAAGCTCGGTTCCCTGGCTTGATTTTTCCCAAACAAGCTCTGAAGGTTTTTGGGTTTGCAGCCTGGTGGAGCTCACATTTTTCCACATTATTATTTTTCCCTCTTTCAGGAGTGTGCGATTCAGCTCCTGGGGGCTTTTCAGCACTATGTGCAAGCTGTCTTCCAGATCTGGGTCTGAGTGGTTTCATTACGCCCACCTCGAGTTTTACTTGAGTAAAGCCCAAAATACAGAGTAAGCAATAGCCAAACCTAGTGATTTTTGCCTGGTTTTCAGCCAACGTTTTTCAAACCCACCTGAATACATAAACTGTCACAGTTGTAAAGCTGGGATGTAAAACAGAGGCAGTTCATTCACTTGCTTAGACATTTCGTGGCTGGGCTCTGCTGACCCATTTTACACTTTTACCCTCAGATTAGTCGAGTTGTGCCCAAAAGTGCACAGGAACAAGTTCAGGAACTAGGACAAATAACCCTGCCCAGGCACATGGCAGCCCCAATTTGCTGCTTTTAACCTAATGATGCTGTTCTGTAAAACCAATGACAATATTTATCCCATGCTCCTGAAATACTTGGGGTCGCACTATGAAGGGTTGAATATCACCTGGGTTCACCTGTCACCTTTTGGGGAAGTGGCACCAACGTCACCTCCAGAGAAGCTTCCCGTGGGGCTCCTGGAGGGGTGTGCCAGGAGCAGGCATGATCCTAGTGTGGAAGGTAGGATCAGGGAAGGTACACCTGGCACCCCCAGGAGATGCTAAGCCCCCGGCTTCTGTGGGCTCTCATAAATTGTGAGAATTAAACTCCTCTGCCAGCATTGAAAGGAAGGAAACAAGGGTGGAAGGACCTGCCTGTGCTGTCAGATTCATTGTTTTATTAGGAGTTTCATGAAAATAAGTATTTCTTCTGAAGCCACAATTGTTGTGGTCATAAGGTTATATCAGAAACTCACCTCTGGCCCCAAGATTGCTTTTTAAAGCTTATTTTGCATATCAACATGCGACCCCAAAAGGGAAATAGTAAGGCCAAGTGTTAGCCGGGCCCAAAGAGTTGTGGTAAATGGAGCCAAGTCCAGTTGGAGGCCAGTCACTAGTGGCGTCCCCCAGGGCTCGGTGCTGGGGCCGGTCCTCTTTAACATCTTCATCAATGATCTGGACGAGGGCATTGAGTGCACCCTCAGTAAGTTTGCAGATGACACCAAGCTAGGAGCGTGTGTCGATCTGCTCGAGGGTAGGAAGGCTCTGCAGGAGGATCTGGATAGGCTGCACCGATGGGCTGAGGTCAACTGCATGAAGTTCAACAAGGCCAAGTGCCGGGTCCTGCACCTGGGGCGCAATAACCCCAAGCAGAACTACAGGCTGGGAGAGGAATGGTTGGAGAGCTGCCAGGCAGAGAAGGACCTGGGAGTGATGGTGGACAGTCGGCTGAATATGAGCCAGCAGTGTGCTCAGGTGGCCAAGAAGGCCAATGGCATCCTGGCTTGTATCAGAAACACTGTGACCAGCAGGGCTAGGGAGGTGATCGTCCCCCTGTACTCGGCTCTGGTGAGGCCGCACCTCGAGTACTGTGTTCAGTTTTGGGCCCCTCGCTACAAGAAGGACATCGAGGTGCTTGAGCGGGTCCAAAGAAGGGCGACGAAGCTGGTGAGGGGCCTGGAGAGCAAGTCCTATGAGGAGCGGCTGAAGGAGCTGGGCTTGTTCAGCCTAGAGAAGAGGAGGCTCAGGGGTGACCTTATTGCTCTGTATAAGTACATTAAAGGAGGCTGTAGAGAGGTGGGGGTTGGCCTGTTCTCCCATGTGCCTGGTGACAGGACGAGGGGGAATGGGCTAAAGTTACGCCAGGGGAGTTTTAGGTTAGATGTTAGGAAGAATTTCTTTACTGAAAGGGTTGTTAGGCACTGGAACGGGCTGCCCAGGGAGGTGGTGGAGTCACCATCCCTGGAAGTCTTCAAAAGACGTTTAGATGTAGAGCTTAGGGATATGGTTTAGTGGGGACTGTTAGTGTTAGGTTAGAGGTTGGACTCGATGATCTTGAGGTCTCTTCCAACCTAGAGATTCTGTGATTCTGTGATTCTGTGATTCAGATGATACACCCCTATATTTTCCAGGAAAAATGGGGTGGAACCACAAACCCCATCCCTCTGATCTCGTTCGTGCTAAACTTCCCAGGACCAGAGGTACTCCAGCATCGCACCTGTTAACCAGAAAGAGGTGGGAGCAGGAGTCCTGCCCCCACTAAAACAGGCAGAGTCGCTCCCAAAGCTCAGGAGCATCTCGGCAGAAGGACCTCGTTGATTCCGAGGGAGATCTGTGCTCCTCTCTGCTGGGGGGAACAGCCCCAACAACTGCCCATGGCTCCGGCAGCGTGGCAGCAGCTCTGCAAGGATGAGCTCCGCCACCCCGCAGCTGGTGCCCTGCTGGTCCCCATCCAAGCAGCCGCCCGCAGCCCCGAGCTGTGCCCGTCCACCCAACGGGCACAAGATGCCCTGGGGATGGCAGCCTGATGTTGGAACTGAAGCCTGCCACTTAGCAATTGTGTTGGGCTGTTCGGGACAAGCACTTCACGTTTCCCCATCCCAGCAGCATCCTGCCCCATGGCGGGGCTGGGCTATTCTTAGCAGCATCTATTTTGGGATCCAGGCTGGAATGCTGGAATTAAGATCTTTCCTTCCTTTAAAGAAACCAAGACAAATGATATTCAGAGAGCTTCGCTTTGGTTTGAAGGCCTTATTCTCTGGCAGATTTATTCCCAAACTTAACATTTACTGGGGACCATGGTGTGCTCCCCCCCAGCACCAGCAGCTCTCCCAGGCTGCGGGGAGCTGGGTGGTAGTTCTGCAATGCACCAAGTAGCTGCTCTGGGTTTTTTTCATCCCCTCTTTCTTGGCAACACTTTGCAGCAGCCGCACTTTAGATTTAGTAAAATATTTTCCACCACCCCCTTTATTTATTTACTTATTGGACAGCAAACAGCTTTTAGACACAATGC